CTATAAAATATTAAATATTTGTTTTCTTTTTTTTCTTTAAAATAATTTTAAGAAACGTTTTTTAATATACCTGTGTGGACTTGCTCGTTGTCTGTGTCGTTTGCCATGACTGGGACCACTTCCTTCTTCAAAATGTTTATCTTCTCTACGATCTACACTTGACTTTAATATAAGAACATATAAAACAGGTATTGCATATATTACACCACACATTTATTAACCATAACCATTTATGCATATTAAAATCCAATTTATTTCTTCAATTCTAAGAAATGTCTTTCAAATAAGAGAAAATGGTTGTCCATAAGATAAACGATTGCTTTTGGTGATTAATTAATTATACAACAAAAATCGGGTACATTAGTGTAAACAACCAAATGAATATAAAAAAAGAAATGAAAAATATATCAGTTTATAATTTTCTTACCTCGTACGAGCTTCCTGTAAGAACGATAGAACCAGATCCGTGATCGGTCTGTACCCCGTGTAGATCGACCGCGAAACCGTTCGCTGCACGTACCTGTCACGGTTCGCAAAAGGTCGTTTAAGGTTCGCTCTTGCAACTACGATGCAAGTATTGTGCGAGTAGCATAGCTGCAATGAGGATATTCATTCACCTGATATGGGCTATTAGGCAGTGCGATGGATCCGGAGCTATGCTCGTTTTGCACTCCGTGAACATCGACTTCGGAAGTGCTGCCTCCTTCTCGTCTATCTTTTGAGGCGTTCGTCTTCTTCTTCGACAGAATGGTCATCTTGCGTAATCGATCGTCGGTGGTCGTTAGACGCGACGCTCGTTTAACAAGATTTTAGAAGAGAACGCAAACTCACGCTCACTTCGCCTTGGGCCTCGTAGTTCCTTCCTAACTACAATTGCTATCCACTTATTTATTATTATTCCCAACGATATCTACAAAGTACACCTCGGAGTACGTAGAGCTGAATGAAAGCGTAGCTACTCCGTCGCTGATAAACTCCTCCTAATTTGAATCAGGGCAGCGTTGCGCTTCGTAAAAAACACGACATGATACCTTTGATAACCAACTACTACATTAATTCTTGTTATTTCGAATGTTTTGTCAGACAGCCATGACTACACTTGCACACACAACCAGGCTACTTGTTACCAATCTGTGGCACCACGTTTTCCCTGCTATAGATCATAAAAGTTCCTATATCAAATATTCGTCATTTGTTTTCAAAGACGAACTATATACACGAGATTTTTTTAAAGTTTTGACCATAATAAATAAATACTACACATTTTATTTAACTAAAGGCTGATCGATGGAGAAACTCTTCAAGAAAATAAGAATTGGAAGTGACAATCTCGATGAAAATTTTTTTCATATGTTCTGATAAAATGAAAAATATTTACGAAACAAAAGGGTTTCTCTGCGACACATTTAGGGAAATAACAATAAAAGTTCATTGAATTCTTTTACTATAAGGCACACCTGTTATTACTAAGTTACTAACTTTAGGTATACAAACTAATAACATACTTCACATATGTTGTCACGAATTCTCGAAATTTTGAGCGACATCATGAGGTAACATATGGATCGTTCCACAGCAAGTCATGATATATGTATGTATGCATTTGTCACTATGATATCACGCGTGCAGTATTTCCTATATAATCAGGAGTATTAAATATGCAATGAGTTTCGTATTTTCAATATTATATACATCATTGACTGAAATACCATCTCGTGAAAAATATAACCTCTATCATTTGTTTACAGAGAGTTATATCGACATTTAGAACCGCAACCTTCTACTCGAAGGGTGCTTCAAAACAAAGTATGGACCACATGTTCGTCATTTAAATGAAAAAAAGTATTACTGTATAAAAAACAATATAATCAGCGATGAGAAACCATTTTTATCATACACAAAATATTACCTATTTATATTAAAACTGTTTTCTAACATCATTCCACTGACTTACTATACGTTCGAAATCCGATTATGGTAAATGAGTGCCTTAAAAGATCAAGATCCCGATTACGGGCCATCCGCTGCAAGTAGTGAAAAACATCAACGAATTTACGAAGAAAATGGTAAAATTAATGTTTTGATTGCTTTATATAATGGAATTTCCATTTGAAAATATGACTTCCAAACTGTTTATACACTTCTCAATGTAAAAAAGTTTGTATAATACTCCATTTATTATTAGGATTGTTTTATTTTATTTAAAAAATTATTCCTGAGACCTACATAAAATTTAAATTTAACAAATAGAATAGATATTCACTAGTATTGATTTTTATTTTCATTTTTAGCACGAAGTAGCACTGCAAGGAAGATAACTGCTATTATTGAAAGGGAATTTTCTCAAGAAATTAATACAAAAGAAAAGGAAGTTTTAGAAATACAAGAAAGATTGCATAGAGCATCAAAGATTCTTCACCTTTTGCGTTATGTCATTGTTGCTGATTTTTACAATCGCAAACAGTGTCAGAATTCACAAAATGGAGAAGCAAAGCAGACAGAAATTCATCCTGCAATAAAACAGTTGATTGGTAAATCACCAAAGCTATCTGATAATTTGATTATTCCTGCATCAACAACATCAAGCAGTGAAAATTATTTTTCTGCATCATCTATTTCAATATTTCCAATTAACACAATTGATTGTACTGCAGTAAAAACGGAAAAGTTAGAGGAATCTTTTGAACATTGCCGGTTACAGAAAAGAAGCAGTGAAACAGATGAAGAATCGCGTCCAAAGAAAATTCCTCGATATATTCCACCAAAAAGTGGACTCCCAGAGTCCCAATGTCCATCAAGAGGTATCCGACATAAAGTTAGAAAACGTATAATTATTGGAAATATTTCAAAATGGATTCCTCCAGAATGGAGAGAAGATGCAGCTAGTCACAAGTGGACAATGTATGTCAGAGGGAATAAAGAAAACCCTGATATTGACGACTTTGTTAGTAAAGTCAGATTTTTTTTACATCCAAGTTATAGACCTAACGATGTTGTTGAAGTTACATCAGCACCGTTTTGTCTCTCGAGACGCGGTTGGGGTGAATTTCCGTTAAGGGTTCAATTACATTTTAAAAGCGCTTTAAATAAACCGATGGATATAATTCACCATTTAAAGCTGGACCGCACTTATACTGGTCTACAAACTCTAGGGTCCGAGACTCTGGTCGACATATGGATTTACGCGGACCCTCGAAATTCTAAGCGAAATATGGGCAAAATTGTCGATCATGATCTTAACAAGAGTGAAAATGATTGCAAGGTAAAACTAGAAAACGATGAAGATGTTACTTTTACGTCTGATCTTATGAGCAACATCGTAAATGAAACACTAGAATTAACAGACAAGAATTGTGACGGTATAATAAAAAAAGAATTTCCAGAAGATATAAAAATTAATGAAGATTTAATAAATGCGAAAAAATTGCGATTTTATGTAGAACTTGATCATGATTATTGTGGTTCAAAGTACTTAAACGATTCTGAAGGGAACTTGACCATTGATCATTCGTTAACTACATCCACATTAATTGATTCATCTTTCAAAGTGAAAGATAGTCTGCAGGAAGAAGATAAGGAAACAGTTACTAACAGTAATAATGTAGTAACAACTGAGCCTTTGACAAACGGAGATTTGAATAATTTAAAGATAGATGATGTAATTAACAGAAGCGTACCTTCGTTAAATGAAATTAATCGAAATGCATTGAAAGTACTTCCATTGAGCTGTTCCAAAGTTCACTCAAACCTTCGTCCTTTAGAAATCTCCATTCCTCCATTGTTTGAACCATCTGGAAGCAAACATGTGTTAGTTCTTCAAAATAATCAAACAATTCCTGTGGATATTGCAGTTCCACGTACAGACGATCACGCTCATAGATCTAATAACGATCCAATGAAATCGAAGATGAATTTGACTGCTTCTCGCGGCATTAGTTTATTGAAGAAACCTCCAGGTTCAGAGACTACCATCCAGGTACGAAATCTAAATGGGACGAAGGCACAGCAAGGATTAAAGCTTCAACTCTCTAAAAGTATTCTTCTAAATGTAAATTCCAATGAGCCGGTGTTGAAAATAGCAGAGAAAAGAAATTCGTCCAATGATTCTCTCTCTAACTTAGAGAAGGAGTCAATTTCTGAACAGGCATTGAAAGTGAACAATCAGGAATTGAAGGAGTTCAAGTTGTCACGCCAAAAGATCACATTAGGCAAAGATAAGCACAAGCTTCAAAGTAAAAAGGAGTTTTACGAAGAAGTTTTCAAAGCAATAGAGACTGCAAATATTTTAAATATTCAAGGCCTATTGCGATTTATTGTTAGAAGAATGCCTATGGTGACTCCCGACGCTTCCGATCCCGACTACAGACGTCTCCATCCTTATGCTTGTGCAAGTGAAGAAGAGTTTTTCAGCTATACCATTGCAAAACGAAATGCCTGTGAATGGAATCGAGCAAAGATGATACAGTGTTTCCTGAAGAAAAAGCTAATTGCGGAAGAAGAACTGTGGACTATTAAGGAGATAATGATTTGGGCACGATTACATGGTTATACGCCTCTTTGCTCCGATTTTACTATTCGATCAATGAAACAGCAGAAAAGTTTACCTGATTCTGCAATAACCAAAGCTGTTTCTACATGTACAGAGCCTGAAACTTTCTGCAAGTGGCTTCAAATTTATCCAGGTCGATTAAACGATCATGTGTTTGATTGTAATGCGCATCAATCCACCGAGCTGAATATTGAGGTTGATGTGGAAAGTATCGGAGTTATGCTAGAAAATAAGAAAATGCTAAAACTAGAAAAAGAGAATAACGAAGTTGCGAATACTAAAATTATGGTGTTAGATCTTCAAAAAAAATTAGTCCCAATTTATGATTTTGTCTGTGAAACTGCCAGAGAAATTGGTGTTAGATTAATTTCGGAAGAAATTGTGCCCTCTGTTGTACATTGCGCAGCTGGTCGAATGATAATACGGGTAAGAACTTATTATTCCATAGTTTGGCTGTAAAATCATATAAAATATTAAACTTTGTACACTTTTTAAAATTCTTCTTTTTAGGCTGTTGAATGTCTCGTGGAAGATTTGGTCAGAATGTCTTTGGCAAAAGCTTGGGAAAGATGCAGTGAGACTGGGTAAATATATTTTTTTATGTGAATACTTATATATACATATATTTCGTAAAAAATTCACAACTGTTTGTTACGATGCAAATGTCAATATAAATGCTGTTATCACGGAATTGTGACAGTCTTCGTTATTTCGTTTGTAGACATCCAAAGGTAATCGTTCTGGACGATGTACGTGGAGCTCTTTTAAATCGAGAAGAATTTGACATTTTTACAAATCGAGGACTAGGTTCGAAATACCGATTGACAACAATGGATTAGTTCGAAAATACATAAAAAGTAAGGAGATTTGATCATGACTGAAAAAATATTTACATTAAAAAAAAAAGTTGCCATATTCAACATTCAAGCAATACAGATCTGCTGCAATAATACGCTCCAATACAGTTCCAAAAACGGAATCCTCGCACATGTACAAATTTATAAGTTTGAATAAAGTATATGAAATTTTGTACGAATAGGTCTTGCATCACGTTTGAACACGAAACTTTTGACCTCTTCTCTGTCATTTCTGCATAAAGTTGAATTACTGTCAACTATGCTTCGTCTTTTATATCCGTTTCAAATATGTACATGAGGACTTAGAGGAAATATGGTTCAGAAAAGAGATCAACTATTTGATACCACATATCAGCTGATCTCTCACGACAATTTGTTGCTACATTTTATATCTCGTTCATCGCATAATAACGTAATCATTTTCTTGTAAAGATGCTTGCATTCGTAAATTGTGCAAAGTAATATCTTTGAATCTAGGTGACATGGGAACATAATTGGACTCATCTACTATTCTCTGGAATTGTAAATTATTTCTTTCAATCTGTATAGAATTTCTATGGGACTGATGAGTCAAAATACTAGATCCAGAAGCTCGAATATCTTGTGACCTTGAAAAAAATTATACATATTTATCAAACAAGCATAAGATTAAGCAAACATGATTTTGCATTAATAAAAATGAAGTAAATACGAACCTGGTACCTTTCATAGACTCTGAAGCGCATCTTTGTCGCGGAGGTAAAGGTGGTGGTTCATCTGATGGAGGGTGATGAAAGAGCTGATCCATATAGAAACTCGAGGCACCAGCTGCATTGTTACTCCTTTCATCTGCTATTTCCTCATAAATTCCAGAAGTTGCAGAAATGTCAGATATTCTTCTAGCATGAGAACAACTAGCTGGTTCTGGTTGATAAACATGCTCTGTCATTTTGCTAGGTATTTTACAGCTTATTTCTTCATATCGTTCACTACTTTCTCTTCGTTTATTTAACATTTTCAATTCCGTTCTTTCGTTTACCATTTGAATACTTGGGAAATTTCGCGATGGTTCGTTGCGAACTAATACTCTAAGATCACCTTCACTTAAACTTAAAGGTCTTCTGTTGGTTTGTTTATGCCTTGGACCACGGCCTTGTGTCACCAAATCCTGTAATAACTTAGTGGCTTCTAAACAAAACACATGGAATTCACCAACTCCATTTCGAAATTCTTTTTTTGTATGAATTACACAAATGAATTTAACATCTTCTGGTCGTCCTGCTGTGACCAAATGAAATTGACCTAGCTCTTTCCACTCAAAACTTTGTATTGTTTCACCTGAATAAACATCTTTTATAAAGATTCCCAATGTGTTTGTCATCAAGTCACCATATAGTCCTACAATATACTTTAGTGATTGAACTTCAATAAGTACAAGTTCTTTATACAATTAATAATTCAAATACCTGTCATTCCTGATGCCTTAGAATGTGAATTATCAACCATAGATATGCTATAAGATCCTGGTATAAATTTATGCTTTCTAGGTTTCAACAGTTGCCTAATGTTTGCCATCCATCGTTGTGATTCTGTCTCCGAATTACCAGCTAAATACAACAATGGTTTTCTTTCTTTGGTAGGAAATATACCAAAAGCAAATTGCTTAGATCTAGATTGAGTGCGACAAATAAGTGCATCCAATGGTATTGTTATAGAATTGTCCCTGTCATTTGGTGATGCATTACTACCATTGCTAATGCCATGATCAAGTTGCACTCTGACACCTAGGCCAGGACCTAGTTTTTTAATGGAACACCAATGTCTCTTCCAAACCTTCCAAGGACCCAATGTCCTCTTTTTAACCTTGTGAACTTTAGATTTACCACCAAAAAACTTAACATCTAGGAATCCACAAATTTCAGTATTTCCCTCTGCCATTTCACTCTCCTTTTCTAAAAAATGTTTCTATGTTAGTATTTACAGAACAGTAACAGTTGATACTTTGCTTGATAGAAGACAGTTTATATAATTAGAGAATAGGTTATTACAGCAGCAAAACTATGAAAATAGTGTAAAAAATTATTTTGCAAATTGATTACCTCCAGCTTGTTAACTGACGCGACAGGGAGATGCTTTCTAATAAAACAAAATGTAGTATAACAAGGATCGTCTTCAATCTCCCAGGAAAGAGACAAGTCAAATAACCAGCTACATTTGATTTTAAACAGTAACGGCAAAATCTTATAAATACAGAGGTTCATGAATATTTACAAAAACGTCCGGGCATTCAACGAACAGTTTACTATTGCTATTATTGTTTACTAATACGTTCACTCTTTAATCTTAAACTCAATACTACCAACAGTGTAAAACATTTGCTAGTCATTGCGAAAATTAGAATTCCCTATGCAAAATTCTTACTAGATATCGTAAATTAATGATTTCTGCTGAGAATTTTTAAACATGTAATACTTGTTTTTTTTTTTTTATTAGGAAAGGACAGCGATAATAGGAAATATTAAAGAGCTTTACGAATATTAAGTACAAATACACTAAGTATATAATAGTTACAGTTCTCCCTTTTTTTTGCATAGATTTATGCGCAAGCGTAAAAGATCATGATTAGATTTCGAAATATCGAGTAAATGAAAGTTTAATGTAAAACTAAATTGTAAAGTAATATCTAATATCGTATATGTCATTAATTTTGTTTATGATTTTCAAGAGACACATAAAATTATGTAGAAAATTCTTCCACTTCTTCAATGAAAAATATCAACAATCGATAATTATACGATTTTTATGATTAAGCTGCATACTGAAACAAAAAAGCAGAAGGAGTTCTGATAGGAATTAGTCTTTGATCACCGCCTCGATCAGTAACTACATAGTAATTTCTTCCATTGACAAGCTGTTGTTTTCTTTGCATTAAAACATTGCCAGGATCTTGGTAAATCGCCGGTGGACTTCTCTTTAACACACTCATATAATTTTGATTTGAAATATTGTTAAGTGAAGAAACCTCTAATTTTTCTTTCGAAGTGGTGCGCGTCTCTCTTTTGCTATTCTTTATTCGGTACGAAATAAACGCATAAATTATTTCGAATAAAAAGATTATCGCAGCGATCGTGTATCCAGCCACCACAACTTTGTATGTTAAAAGAAGATCAGTATTTCGCAGTTGTCTTTCACTTGAACGAAGATCGACAGGGCAGATTTCCGCCAATGGAAGATCCTCTTCTTTTCTGTGTTGTACAATACCAGTTTCCACTAATCTCAACAACCTGTTATTAAATAATAGTTCATTTTTGTATTCTAAAACAGCTCTATATCTAAAATAGTTTTTAACATCGCTCACCAAATAAATACATTTATCTTAAAATTAAATAGAATTATCAATTAAAACTTACATTTCATTGATATGTTTCTGAACAGTTGAACCATAAGAGAAACCAAAAGCACGACTAGTTAGTAAAATACCACCTGGCATTATGACGTATGTACAACGCAAATTGTGTTCCAAATGATGGCGAGTTTTATTTACATAATCTTTAAATATTAAAGTCTGCAAATAATGTGCCTCCGCCAGAAAAAGTCTTCCTAAAAATAATTAAACAATCGAATAAGAAAAATGACCAGTTATAGTACGGCATTGTAAAGCAGGTTGCCTATGTACAGGTGTTTCTTTCTATGTTTCGAAATATTCAATACATACTCGTGGTAACTGATTCTAAGATTGCTCTTGATGGCTCGTAATACTTAAAAACACCTTTCCCTTGCAATTTACTCATGTTCAACAAAGTTAAATCATTCTGGTGATTCTGAAAACGTAACAAGGTTTTAACATTGTATTTATTTGTCAAATTCTTAAATTATTATAAGATTTATCGAAAAGTCGCCTTGAACCTTACTTGAGATAGAAGAAAATCAACCATGCGCCCTTGATAAGTAACCCAATTATATCCCTTCTGAACAATATCATGCAGGGAACTGATAGACAATGTAAATTGTGGCTTCGTGAGAAAAGCAGTGAGATTCGCCGTGTAGAAGGATGTTAAGATCAGTATAAAGATCCACCAAGTAGCAAAAAGCATGCGTGTCGAATCTGTAATTTCACGAACTCATAAACATTAAAAGTTAATATAATTGCAACTGCTTATAATTAATAATCATTGTACTCTACCTGTTGTAGCAACAATGTTCGTCCCTTGCTTCAGAAGAGAACTATAAACGAACCAGAAGCAGGAGGATATATTGAAATTCTCCGAAGTCGGATCATGCCATAACTTTGCTCTGTGTCAACAGATCAAATTAAAATTGTCAGTAAAATTATGAAAAATTTTTAAACAACTACCTTTTTGTGAAATTTTAACAGTTTTTAGGCACCTAATACTTGCGAAAAGATAAATAACCGGTCCCACAAAAATTAACGATGCTAGAACTAACAACCACACGGTTCTTTCGAAAGGTGCCAGAAGACCAGAACCAGTAGCTGACTCCTGAGGTCTTTTCATCACAGCGGTTAACTTCGTTTCGTCCAGAGCGGTACTGAACGTGCAATATCGTCGCATTTCCGGTAACACAGGAAGGAATGCAACAGCTACATCCACCTTCTGATAAAATACGATTTTTTACGACAAAGTTATTATCTATTTCATTCTTTTATAAGTTTCATATGTAATACCTTTTGATAAAGTAAACCAAGAATACCCCTATTTTCATCACCCAAAATGTGTTCGCTTGGTGGAATAATAGTGTACGTAAAATTCAGTTTTTTACTGATTAAATCAAAAATGTAAAATGCGTATCCTTTCCCGACCCATTTTCCGTTCTCTTGCATAACTCCAGAGAAAGGCATATCCTGTGAGGAAAATGCATAAAAAAATATTTAATCTGAAAATACTATGTTAAATACAATAAATTACTACTGATTACCACTTTACACGTAATATTCTTAAAACTTAGTTAAATCTTTTAAGGAACTTACATTCCAGGATGTTACTGTTATTTGTGATGGTATCAAATCATTTTGTCGATTATTTTTGTCACTTGCCGCGCTATCTGCGAATATAAAATAATAATAGATTGGAATAATTAATTAATTAGAAATGTCACAGATGAATCAAATACTATATTGCTTTAATCAATATACTTTATTATAACTTTTGATTTCATTGTTGTTGCAAATTATCAATGACCGTGATAAAAACTCATTAGCAATAACTGTATTGATTTATAATGAAAACGGTTTTCGTCATATTGTATTCACGGAGGTCATGAACACATTAATCGATTCATTCACGCTAGCAATTCAAACGTGGTGTACTATGAAATCAATAATATTTGAACCATTAACTTTACCCATAGAAAAAGGATTTTGTATTCCATTTCATTAGGAACAAAATGTGTTTTTTGATAGAAATATTACAGATGCCTATATGATAACTATACAGCAGCGTATGAAAATACGAAAAATACAGTTTTTCTACGTCTTTAATTTCTTCGGGGGAAATTCTAATTCTACTTTCCTGTTATATATCGCGATGTACTTGTATTCTATAAAAATAAAAACAAATCGAAGATTTACAAGATAATAATATTTTTTATTGAAAAACAAAACAAGAAAAATTTAGAGTATCAATTCTGCTAGCGTACCTTGACCATAAACATTACGAGTGCATCGCTGGGTGAAAAAAAGTGCTGCAAGAAATAACGAACAAGAGATGTGCATCCTTCGATGAAAGATGGACCTATGTACATTGGTCTTAATTGATTGTTAATTTACGATCGTCTTTACGTTCGCAGTTACAATAAAACAAGTCACCTGGATGAATCGATACTGACGCGACTCGTCACATTCTAGTTGACAGTGACCCAGCTAACACTCACGCAGTGACAGTTTAATGTATTAACACTTGCGTGAGCGCAAAAATCGTTGTCCCGATAGTTTGCTAAGCTTTTATCTTCCTAGGAAATGGAAATACAGCAAAAAATGTATTACTTTATGTTTTGAAAAATATTGAAAAAAAAAAATGTCCACAAACGATTATTTTGAATGGATAAAATTAAATTTGCTTGTTTAATTCTAAAGATGAAAATATTGGATTTCTTTTTGAATATAATGGAATGTGTAGTTTATAAAAATTATATCGATTATAAAGATCACATAGATTCGATACTTTGATGATTGTTTCGTTCCATTATGAAGAATTTAAAATCACACTCAGGTACCATATTTACGCACATGTTAGATCGTCAATTTCTCTAGGTAAAAACATTCTGTTATTGTACTTTTAATATGATTAAAGAATTGAAGGAGTTGTATGTACATATCTATAAAGCTCGAAAATTTAAAAAGAAATGTATAAAAATCGATTTGTATAAAACTCGATAAATACGTACATCGAGGGAAACGCTCGATATGTTAATTGTAATCGATATGAGCGCAGGTACGATAAAAGTCGAACGGTATATTCAGCAACAGTGGTTCTCAACACAATGTCAAGATGAAATTCGTTGGTAATGGTGAATAGAACAACTATGGTGGATACGTATTCCTGATGAAGCAGCTCGGGTACACTGAAATGACAACAAGTGATTGATATTATTGATAATGTTATAATGTGAGGTGCAAAAGCAAAGGTGTTTCGGCGCGAACGGGAGTGCACTTTGTTGGTAAGTAGCCCGACAAAGCGTCCCGTTCGTGGAAACGAACGTGTATTTGGGACTTTCATTCAAGGTATAAGAAAAATTCCCTTCCGAATTCCTGTTGGTGAATGCAGGTTATGTGAGCATCGAAACGCGTCGTTGTTCATCGTTTTTCACGATAACCGGCCAGGATGGGCCAGGGCACGGATACCTGCACAGACAGGCCTACTGAAGTTAGCGTGATCAGATTTGTATCAAGGAATCGTACCATTGAAGAAATTGCCCCAAAAAAGGTAAAATTACCAGCGCCATTTAACGGGTTCAATGACCCCTAACTCAAAACAAATCGCTTGGCGTTTATCTGTATTTGTCAACTTATCCAGCAACGCATTTACTATTAGGTTTTTTAAATACATTCATTGATGAAAATCAATGCTGTGATGTAAAAGAACAATAGTAAGATATTTTTAATGACTTTGAAGAATAAATAAGTTAATTTTGGATACAAAAAAATTATAATGTTCAAAAATATCAACATTTTTTCCCTAATATATATTAGTAAAAATTGTACAAACTAAAAAGTATCATAGATATTTACTTACTTTTACATTGCAATGACTTTTGCTTACTTCCAATTTATGTTTATATACTGTGCTTTTAGGAAGTATATACTTGTAAGCAACGAGGTTGTGGCAAAACATTCACTAATCAAGATGAATACAAAACACATGAAGCCCTTGAGGCTTACAATATAATTATAATAATAACAAAAGTTTGACTACCCTTCATAGCTGTCGAGAACCAGGATGTGGAGAAGAACTATCTGACCCTGGAAGTATGTGGCGCCATTATCAGGAATGGCATAATAATGAAACAAATGTATTTATATGTCCATACACAAATTGTGGGTCTTTACACACAACTAGTAGCAATCTAGAAGAACATATCGAAAACTGCCATAGACAACCACCAACACTGCCAACTGAACCAGAAGTAATATGTTTTGAAGATACTGAGAATGCAATGGATGAGGAAATTGTCCAAAGTACAGAGGAATGTTATGAGAAGAGAACAAATGAAACTTTTTCAATAAAAGTGCATCAATATGATGATAATAATGAACAAAATATTCTCAGAAGTGATAATGTACAGCAACAAAAAAAAGAAGTCCCTCATGATCAGAATACTGCAAATGACAGTTCAAAGGAAGAATATTCTTCCACTAGTGAATCTTTAAATGAAGCTGGTACATTTTCTATCAATGAAAACTTAATTCTAAATACAGAGAATTTCATATCCAAATATGAAGGTAATACAAATAAATGTTCAGAATTGCAGACAGAACATTCCCAAGAGAAAACTAACATAGTTTATGTAAATGGTGACATTACTATTACAAAGAATGCAAAAAATGAGGTGTGCAATATGAATTCAAGAAATCAAGAGCACAGAATTGAGTTAGATAATCTTGAAAGGATCTTCAGAAATGATCTCGATCGTGATATTCCAAAAACTGAGGAGAATACTATTGAAACGAACAGCAATTGTTCAGATAATGAAGAGTATACTCCAAAGAAGCAGCGCATGTCTAGGTACAAGCAAGAAATTTACAAGTGTGCAGTTAATGGTTGTGGGAGAAAATACAAATACATATCCCATTATCGTCACCATCAAGACAGTCATAAATTAGCAGCCAATACAATTAGTTCAAATTCTAACAAATCAATAGTAAAAATAAAGCAAGGGAAAGCATCAACGGTCAGTTTTTTCCTGTAAGTTTAAGAATATTCGTTCCTAGTAACAAAATCTACAGCTTTTGTATTTTACACATTTAAAGATAAATAGACATATCCTTTCTGATTTTTAGTATTTATAAAAAATTTATTGTTTGTAACTTATAATTCTAGTTTCTATCATATCTTTTGTACATCAGGTAATTATTATTATTATCGCAACTGTTATTAAAAATTTAATTGCTTAATTCAAATTTATTATAAATTAATTAGATGTAAGATTCCTGGCTGTGGGGCACAAGTGAGCAATGTAACTGGTTTATGGAAACATTACCAGGACAATCATGCTAATTCAAAACTACCAATAGTACAAGGAACTAAGAATAATGAAGTATTTCGGTAAGTTTTATAACTATACAATAAATTGTGTATGCCTTACTGTTAATACCATAAGAATAATTGTACTAGCAATTGATCATATATCAATTTTAAACATTCTTGCATTTATTACTAGAAAACTCTTTTGACAGATGTTAAAACCAAACATGTTTCAGTTGCAAAATTCCTGGATGTGAAACAGAGTTCAGTACAACAGTAATGTTGTATAAACACTTCAATGAAGTACACTCAAATAACACTGGCAATAATGCTAGCACAAATACGAAGACTGGGAATGGGAGTAGTTTTCATTATAATGAAATGTTCAAAGATGATACTACCAACCCGCAAGCAAACTTTAAGACTGACTTTAAAGCAAAGAGTAATATTAATGTAAATGACTGTACGATAAGTACTGATGAACAAAGATTGTCATCAATTGTTAAGAAGGAAGCTCGGGATTGACTTGAAATAAATTAGCATCTTAAACATGACGATAAATAATTATAGCAATGAAATGGAGTACTATACCAGGGCCGTAAATATTCGAATTACGAAACAAGTTGTTTGAGCAGAAATGTTTCTATTCTCTATTCTTCATCCTCTTGACTAGTCAGATTTTATTACGCTTTTATTATTGATTTTAAGAGCGACGGCCCTCGTTAACTATTCAAATCTTTGTGACTCTAACTGAATCATAGAAATGTAAAATAGAAAGATAACTTTCTAGGGTTATCAGAGTTGTTTTTCTGAGACTTTTAATAATTTAAACAAAATTGTCATATAATACAAATTTCATAACTTAATATATTACTTAAAAAGAATAATCAATTTTTTTTACATTTATATTTAAAAGTTGCTAAGAACATTATAATTCAATGTTCATTTCCTATTTAAGTAATAATATAACATTTGAAATTTATAATGAACAAAAGTAAAAAAGTATTACTCTGGAACATGTGTATGTTTCAATGTTCTTAAGTATACCTTACTGTTATTACTTTAGTACAAAATTATTACAAATACTATTCAAAGTAAATGTTGAATCAATTCATTTGTAATATTTGCACTTAAAATGTCACTCATAATTATCTTCAAAATATGAAAAGCAACTCAAATTCAAAATGTTAAAACTCAATATTCAATGAATACAACAATAAAAGCAAAATAAAAATACGATGTCGTAGGTTGAGAAGCCTAGTTTGGCAAATTTAAGAATGAAGTTCAAAAGAGAAAAACATTCACTGCAGTAATTTGTGCGCATATTATATAAAATTCACGAATTTCCATACTAATTTTTACTATTTTATATTATTGTATCATTTTAATGTAATTTATGTTAGATAATGTCGGTGTAGTTATTGTATTAGATATTGTAGGATCATAAACATTATATAGCATTTTCATTTATATGTCTGTACATTGAAAAATAAAGTGCAATAGTGAGTTGAAGAGAAAAGCGTATCATATATGAAATACCTAATTATTTTTGCATTTAAGTATAAGCAACAATAATTAATCTTGGTATTTAACTTCACGAACGTTGTGTTACTTGTCGTGTTACTGTACTAAAATAATTTTGAGTTCTTAAATATGTTTTTACTGCTGTGTTTTACAAACTTTTTCGTTTGGTGTATAGCTGAAAAACAAAATTTTGTTTTAATAATTGTCGATGATTTAAGGACTGCCTTAGGATGTTACGGTGATGTAAATGCTTATACACCGAATATAGATCGTTTAGCGGGAGGAGCTGCCATTTTTTCTGAAGCATTTGCTCAGGTTAACCCCAATTAAAAAATTTAAAAAATTCAAATTTATGAAAAATGAAAAAAAAAATATAATTAATTTTTGTAGCAAGCTTTGTGTGCACCGAGCAGGAATTCATTTTTAACAAGTAGGAGACCCGATACACTTCACCTTTATGATTTCTATAGTTACTGGAGAAAAGATGTTGCTAACTTTACAACATTACCCCAACATCTTAAGAATAATGGTTATATTACAAAATCAGTAGGAAAAGTTTTTCACCCAGGTTCGTTTTTTCAATGCAATATGTAAATATAAATTACTGCATATAATTTGGTTTATGATACATTCATGATATTTCTATAGGAACTAGTTCAAACCATTCTGATGATAGCCCTTACTCATGGTCAGAAACACCTTTTCATCCATTTACAGAAAGATATAAAAATGCTCCAGTATGCCAAACAAATATACGAATTTCACCTGCACAAAATCTTGTAATGACTATAAAATACAATTTGTTTTAAACAGTAATCAATAAAATGATAAAACATCATTTAAACAAGTTTAAACAATGTTTTTAGGTGTGCCCTGTTAAAGTTTTATCAATGCCAAATAAAACATTACCAGATATAGAAATATTAAGAGAAGCTAAATATTTTTTATCTAATCAAGCAGGCAATACTAATCCTTTCTTTTTAGCAGTTGGTTTTCAGAAACCACATATACCATTTAAATATCCTGAAAAATATTTAAGTATATTTAATTATTATCACAAATAATGATGATCATAACTTAGATATTGAGAAATCTAATTTACAAAAAATACTTTACAGAATTCCATCCTTTGTATAAATTTAAAGTACCCAAGCCATATAAATGGTTAAAAAATGTTAGTAGCATAGCTTATAATCCATGGAATGATTTGAGAAGAAGGGAAGATGTTGCATCATTAAATCTTGAATTTCCATGGGAAAAGATACCCAGTATAATTAATTTTCGTAAAAGTTAATTTATCTTTTTGCAATATACAAACACTGTATTTCTATTCCTTTTTCATTTTTAGAAAATTTTGCCAGATTGATCATTCAATCTTATTATGCTTCAGTAACATATATTGATGACTTAATTGGCAAATTGATAAATCAACTGGAAATGTCATCAATATGGCTAAATACTACTGTAATATTAATGTCTGATCATGGTGAGTTAAAAGTAACTATACACATAAGTAAGTTTTGAAGTAACTAAGAGCAGTCTGAAATCTTATATTGTCAAATTTCTAATAAATGCTTCATTTCTTCAATTAATATTTGCATAGGATGGTCATTAGGAGAGCATACATTATGGGCAAAATATAATAATTATGATGTTACTTTAAGAGTACCATTGATAATTTCAATACCAGGACTTACATTTGAAAGGCCAACAGAAAATACAAAGAATTCACGAAAAAATGATAGATTGAATTTATCAAATAATCACATAATTATAGATTCAATAGTAGAATTAGTTGATATTTTTCCAACTATGGCAGACTTGGCAAATATTACAATACCTGTTTGTTCAAATAAAAATGCTCATATAGAAACTACTTGCAGTGAAGGAATTACTCTTCTGCCACTTATTAGAGCTGCTTTAAAAAAAGAGGTAATATTAATGTGAAAATTTAAATTCAATAGTGTCATTGTTACATAGTTCTTGAAACAATTACTTATCTTAGATATTTGTATTCATTAATTTATAGTCATTACTGTGGAAAAACGCAGCATTTGGGCAATATCCCAGGCCAAGCATTGAACCTTCAATGCATCCAAATAGTGATGAACCACGTTTAAATGAAATTAAAGCGATGGGATATACGCTAAGAACAAACAGATATCGTTATACGGCTTGGCTACCATTTAATTCTGAAACTAAAATAGCAGATTGGAATCATATCATTGCTGAAGAGTTGTATGATTACAATACTGACAAAGGTGAAAATCGTAACGTAGCATTTTTGGAAAAATACACTAAATTAAAAAAAAAATTAAAGATTTTACTGCAATGTGGTTCAAGAAACGTTTTATCACATAAGTTTAATCTTTAAATTACACTTATACTCATTTAATTACCTTTAGTAATTTACCTATATCTGCAGTTTCAAATCAAATAAAATTTGTAATTTCTACATGTAATGAAAAACAATATGAAACTTAGCTTATATCTACAATTTGTCTGATATGAATTAATTATTAAATTAATATTAAACGAGTTACATGTTCTATTAATATTATACAGTAATATTCTTTTACCCATACTTATAGGCGTAATTTAAGTTGTATAAAAGATTCTTCTAATTACTGCAGTAGCATATAAAAGATTATGGATGATTATATTTTTATGCATATAATTATACAATAATAATATTAATTATAATTGTAATATTGTATGACCAATACTGATACTATTTGAATTTGTATATAGTATACAAAGAAAAAAAGAAACTAAAAACTGTATTGAAAATGTAAATGACCAAGATAACATAACATCCAAGAGTTTCTATACTTTAAAATCGTTGCATTATATGTAGTTTCTTAAATTTTCAATCATTTTTGTTCCTTTTGTTTTATTTCATTCACTCTTCTTGATTTTTGTTTTTATTATTTACTGTGGTTGAAGGAACCTAAAATTATAAAGCAAGTTTAATCATTAATAAAAATTTACTTAGCTTCAAGATATTTTGATTCTTTTATAATCCATAACCTTTACTACCTCCACAACGTCATCGTCGACATCTACAGTTCTTATATCGATATTTCTGTTATCCCTTACTTGATTGATGACATTTTTATAAACATTCTGTTGTGCCATAGAGTTTTGGCTTATTCTAGCCAAATTAGATACATGCATGCCCATTGGTATAGTCTTTACATTTGGATTCTGGTATACATAAAGTCTCAGATACATTTGAAAGAAATACATCTTTTATATCTAAACATTATACATTATATAATAGCAAAATTTTAAAGAATTATGAAAATACCTGATCAATTACTTGATTTTTAGAATTATGATAAGCTTGTTGCTCCCAATAAGTGTACATATCTGTTAATGCACGAGCAGTCAGCATTTGTTGAGCCTCCGGCGATGAATTTGGATACTGTAATATTTAAAGTCAATAAATGTGAATAAATTATTTTTGTTATTGATAAGAAAATTATATTCTTACATCTTTTCGAAGAAGTTGTTGAAGATTTTCATAATCTGCGTTAACAAATGATGCTGGTAAATTATACTGATTTAACCATAAATTATTTGGCAAAGCTGCCATTGCTGAATATGATGGCGTTGCTATCGGTTTTCCTTTCTTTTCTTCCTCATATTCCAACCAAGCTTGTTTTCTCTCCTCTTCGTTCAATTCTTCCTCTGCCTGTCAGAAATAAGTTTATAAATGAAATCTATGTTAACCAGAAAATTTTATTTCATGATATAGCTACAAAAGATACCTTATTTTCCAAAAGAGAATCATGCTCGTGATAGTTCTCCACATGATTTTTGTATTTCAAAAATATTTCTGCTAGTAACCTATCTTTCGGCAAGTTCAAAGTCGCTTTCTGTCCGCCAATATTTGGCTCAAAAGTATACAACTCGCTCAAGCTGTGATTACTATAATGACGTTCTATTTGTTGTATATCGACAACTCTACAGGAAAGCGACAATTTTGTCACTTGTCGATTATAAATTTTTTCTTCCATCGTTCCAGCTGCCAGAAACCGATAAATATAGCACGGCTTTTTTTGGCCAAATCTGTAAGCCATATATGTCTTAATAATTATAAAGGCTCTATTTTATAGATTGTGACATTACATACCTGTATACGCGGAATATACTTTGAACATCATGAGAAGGATTCCAGCTTGCATCAAAAATAATAACGCGATTGGCAGCGGTTAAATTAATTCCTAATCCACCTGCCCGTGTCGAGATTAAGAATAATCTTGCTCTTATGTTTGATGGTCGATTAAATATTTTACACCACAAATTTCTGTTTTCGGCAGAGGTTTGTCCATCTAGTCGAAAGTAATCTAAGCCTAATGACCAACTGCCAATATGACCATCAACATTTTCAGAATTTGTACTATTTTGTGTTTCTTCGTCAATTTTCGCAAGAAATTGTTCAATTAAAGTTAGCGAATACAACGATTGTGAAAATACCAACCTGAAAATATTTAAAAAAGCTTTTATATAACTTATTACAAACTTTGAAAAATCAATCTAAACAACATACACTTTATCTCCAAGTTGTTCACATTCTTTCAATATGCCAAAAAGAAGTACCAATTTGGAAGATACTTTCAGATCTTCAAAATGTTCAGGTTGAACGAATTGTAACCACCACTCCTCTTCTTTTTTTTCAAGTTCTTCATGTTTAGATAGTATTTCAACTTCTAAAGTTAAAGTGAAAACATATTTAAATAATTTAATGAGTATTTTACAATAACATATTTTAATATCTGTAAAGTCTTACCAGGATCGTTATTTCTCAAGTTACTCTTTTTATTTTTTACTGTACTATCAGAATCGAGATTTTGAACTTCATCATCTGCATCACTGTGTGCACTACTACTACTACTACTACTACTTGTGGATTCTGTATCGTCATCGTTAATAAAATCTCTCAAGGAACCTTCAGAATCACTGGTACATGATTTTTTCTCATTTATCCTTTCCCTCTTTTCTGCATTTAATTGCAGAATTAAGGGATGCGTCCATATTCTTTGTAATGCTTGAAAATCTGTGAAAATAGATCCGCCTGCAGTGCGTGTTCGTCTGAAATGAAAATTGTAAATTAAATTTTTATAAAACTTTATTAAAATACTTATTTCACATACCGTGCAAAATTCTCCAAATAATGTTTATACATTTTTATTTGAATTTCACTTAGATTCACAAAAATCACATATTCTTGTTTTGGAGGTAAAAACGGCGTTAATACAGAATAATCGAATCTTTGAACGCAGCCCTTTAACATCTTATGTAAAACATAAGCACGTTTTTTCATTAATTTAACGTCGTATTCGGTAGAATCATCGAATTGACCATTAGTTATTGGATTTGCAAATCTGTTTAAAAATTCTTTTTTCGTTCCGAGCAGATTTGGCTTTACAAACTGTACCATACAGTGATCTGTAACACGTAAATTAAAAACATTCAAGTAAATAGATGTTGAATCACTTATATACACACTCGTTATTCAATATCTGTAAGGTTTTACATTCTATTAAATTGTTTTGAAGCGGTGTGCCTGTAAGTACAATTCTTCGTAATGTTTTAATCCGTTTTATAGATTTACTGAGAGCAGTATCTTCATTTTTCAATAAATGTCCTTCGTCACAAACTATTACATCTGGACCAGGATCTATTAAGTACCGCAAAATGGCTTCTTTCATACTCTTTTTCATTCTATTATTCGTGCCGCTAAGATTTCTAAACATTTCATAGCCAATAATAAGAATACCACCAGTTCTTTGCCACGTTTCCAATTGATATGTTCGTTCTAAATTCTTCTTAAATCTTTAAAAGATTCATCGACAAATGTTATGGTCATTTATTCATCAATCGCATTAAATTTATCGATAATTGTAATATTTATAAAAGTTACCTGGTCATTTCGTAAATTTCGATGTCTTCATCGATATTTTTTAACCACAAACTAAATTCATTGAACCAATTAAGTACAGTGCTGAGAGGACAAACAATCAGAATCGTCTTAACGCCAGTTTCTTTGTGCATCAATAGTGTATGTGCCAAGGCAATTACTTGAAGTGTTTTCCCCAATCCCATACAATGTGCAATTATACACCCAGATCCACTGGAAGATTTTGTTCTTTCCAACGATTCGAAACACGCATCCCACATGAACTTTATTCCCTTGGCTTGATGCGGTTTCAAGCGTTTAACCAAATTTTCATGAACAACCACCAGTTCTTCCTTTGTTTCGGGATTAAAATCTAATATCAGCTTTTCTAATTTTTCTTCACCAGCCAACCTTGCTTCATACATTTCGTTATACTATGTTAAAAAGTGAAAAGATTTTTTTTTTATAATTCTTACAAGATCATGTGACATACTTATTAAAAACACATACTAATTTTTGTCGTTCAGCAATACGTTTAAGTCTCTCTTCCTCTTCCTTGACAGCTTGCTTTGTGTCTTCTGCAACCTGCTTGTCTTTCATTACTTTCCGAATTTTCTTGCGACGTGTTCCAGGTGTTCCTTGAGAATTCGTGGTCTGATCATTGTTACTATCATCATCACTATCACTGGACACCTTTTTAATACGTCTCCTTTTTGGCTTAGCTCTAGAAATGTAAAAATCAATATATATATTACATATCATTTATTACAATATGTATAAAAACACACACACACGCACGCGCGCATATATTTTTCTTTCCATAAATAAAAAATACCTTTTCTCTGCAAACGAAGAATCCGTATCAGAAGATCTACGCCCCTTACGTTTATGCATTTTCTTTTGCTTTCCTACTGAGAAGTCACTATCTGAGGACTTATTGTCTTTCAATACAGTAGAACTACTTGCATCCGAATTAGCATTAAACAGTTCCATGTCTGAATCAGAGACTATCATTTTTTTACGAACACGTCTCTTATGTTTTATAACTTCCTCCTTATCATCCAAACTTCTGTTATTTAAAAGAATGTTACGGTTTATTTTACACAATATAGATTTATCTAAGAGCCATGTTAAATAACCCACGTATTATCTTCTTCTGCCTTTTCTCGCAACTCATTTTGTTTCGCATTCCATTTTTCCCTCTTAACATCGGTATCTGAATCCGAAGAAAATGTCGACGTTAATATTTTATTTCGTCTCCACTTGTTTTTCTTCCTTTCCTCTTCATTTTCCTAATTACATTAATATTAATTGATGTCTTGATATAAATCAAGGTAATTCATTGAGATCATATAAACATTTATTCGCATTTTAATTGTTACCTTATCACTATCCTTTTCTTCTTCTTTTTGAGTCGATTTTTTTGAATGATCATTGGATTTTGTTTCACTTTTTTCCTTTTCACTATCACTGTCTTGAGAAGCGACTTTCTGTTCACCTAAATTAAAATACATAAAACTTCCATCTCAATTTACAAGTGAATTAAAAAAAAAACTGATTTTAAAAAGCAATTAATCTAATTCTTACCCATATCTGAGTCAGAAGAACATAAAAGAATATTTTTTGCAACTGCATCTGCTTCAGCCATTAATTCATCATTAGTTTGGAAAGAAGCTTGTGTTTTCACGATTGGATTATCATGTTCTGAATTAGAATCTTCCCCTGCATGTTCAACAAATTCCTCATCTTCAATGTTCATCAAATGATTCAACAAAGAATCTTCCTCTTCTTTTGTTGTCCATGTCCTTTTTTTACGTAAATTTCGCGGTGAATCACATATTGTTCTACGGTTCTTCTGTAATCTATCCAAATCAATAAGGCTGCAAAAAAGAATATATGTAAGTAAAACGTGTTAAAAGATAAGATATTTTTTTTATACCTTTTAATTTCTTTACTTTCTAAATATTGTCGTGATTTATTTAATGCATCCTTATATTTTTCAAGAACTTCATCGGATAATCTTTCAACAACAACTTCGGAAAGCATTTTTAATTTTTTATCTGAACCAGTATAGTTTACTTTAAGCAAATGTGCTCGTCCTTTAGAATCTGTCTGTTTATGTACTAAAGATTCTTCTTTACCTTTTTCTGAAGAGAAATCTGCGTTTGTTCCTTGCAATTTACTACTATTATCAGAGCTCGAACTTTCACTATTTGAAGAAACTAATAGTTTTACTTTTGCACGTGTATCCTCGTTGTTGTCGTCAGAATCATGCTTTTTATCTGAACTTTTTTTAATATCACAAGGACTCATAGAATTATCTGAGTTTAAATCAAGAAGTATATTCGTTTTAATAAGTGTATCCTGTTCATCTGATGAGCTAGTTTTATGAATGGAATTACTCTCTGTGCTATTATTTCTTGCTTTTCTGTCAGATTTTGATAGGTCCTTTTCTTTCAAATTATCATTTGCAGATTTTGCAGCACACTTAACTGGCGAATCTTCATTCATAGTTGTTTCTGAATCTGATTCTAACATTGCTTTTTTGGCCTGCTCTTCATCATCTAATTCTTCGTCATTTGAAACGTTTACTTCTTTCTTAATTGACAGTGATATTTCTTTGGATGGTACTGATTTAGATTTTATACTATCTATTTTACGTATACATGAATCATCTTTATCGTTACGTTCTTTATTCAACTTTTTATTTTGCGAAGAATTTTGGTCTTTACTATCAGTATTTTTGATAACTTCCTCCGATTTTGAAATATTCTCGTTTTTATATTCATTCGTGTTTTCTTTCGAGGTAATAATGATATCTACATTTCTAGGTATGTAATCATTGAAGATATCATCTGTAGATTCATTCGCAATGTATGCACTTTTTACTTTTTGACATTCTTTATATACTTTTTCACTTTTGTGGATTACTTCCGAATGTTCTTTTGTATTTGTTTGATTTGATTTTTTTTTTTCTTTGTTACCGCCTATAATAGGAGAAGCACATTCATTTTCACTGTCATTTACTAATTTCTCTGACTCTTTTGCAACTACTGAGTCTTCACTATTTTCATTTTGGTCAGTATTTGTTTTCAAAGCAGTTGTTTCATTCTCAGAAAATATTTCTTTACCATCACATTCTGAAACCACACTTCCTGCTTTTGAACTACTTTCTGATATATTTGATTTTTCTTTACTCTTAGTTCTTTTTGATGCTTCATTTTCAGTTAAAGAATTATTTTTATCATCTATATTTTGTGGATTACTGTTTTTGTACCATTCCTCATAAATATTTTGTAACTCCTCTTGTTGTGCATTAAGTTCCATTTTAAGATCATTGATCACATTCTTTGATTCATTTATGACTTTAACTGCATGTTTTGGATATATTTGTTCTTTTCTTAAATGTTTCGATTTTACGTCTTGCATTTTTAATTGATAGTTAGAACAAATTGCCTTAAATTTATCACAAATGTGGATAACCTGAGATTTTAATTGTGAAGTTTGTTCTTTGCTAATCATATTTTTTGTTTGTAATGTGAACTCTAAATTTGATTCTGCAGGATCTTTGACATGATTCAATGTTTTTTTAACATTTTCCTTACTATGAGAAATATCTGTTTCTTGAAATTCTTTACCAGAACTAGAATCAAAGTCTTCGTTATGTAAATTGATAAAATCTTTATGATTTGATTTCACTGTTAAATGCCTCTTTTCCCTTACTTGAGCAAATTTTACAAGAATTGGATCCTCTAAATCACTAGAATCTGATTCCATATTCTTATATTTTTCCTTTCTTATATGCACAACTTTCTTATTTTTTATATTACTTTTATGTTTGTCAGATTTTGAATGTTCTTTGCTTAATTTTTGTTTGTCATAATCATTTTCACTTTCCTCAATACACATAGAAGGTGTAGATTTTCTCCTACTTTTTATCTGATTTTCATCAGAAGACTTATACAATGAGCTGCTAGCTGAAAACAATTAAAGAATGTTGTTATATTACTATAATTATAATTCTGACATACTACAGTTATCACATTTTTAAATGCTCTGTTATGATAGATTTGAATTTATCTTACATGAATTTGCAGATTTATGCATAAAGAAAGGTCTTGTTTCTTCAGGGGAACTGGAATCATTGTCACATAATGAGTTTACTTTTTCCTGCAATTTCTTTAGTTTTGCAATTCTACGCCTTGTAGGTATAGAACCATAGTCATTTATATCAAATGTCCCTCTATTACTTAACCTGAAAACAGTCATTAATCATTTACTATATAATTAATCAAAATAAATCATTTCTTTAATACATGAAAATGTTAACACTTTAAATGTATTTTGTATACTGTCTATACTCACTTGGGATGAGAAGACATGATGACTGAGAAAATAATTTATAATTTTCAGAAAACTAACTGAAGTATAAAATATTTTTGTTCCCTTATTCCAAAAGCCAATGATAATTAGTTTTACATTTTTAAATATTATTTCTGAAAACAAAATTCACAACTTAATAGGTTAGAAATTATAAGATAAAAACATTTTTTTATGCCTTGAATTTTTACATTTTAATTCAATTAATTATTTGCATTGCTGTAATTCTTTAGAACTTAAAAATATTACCTTACACTACATCAAAGTGACAATGTATAAACAAAGAAATGTTTATTTCACCAACAATTAAACCACTTGCATATCCTTAAAATATGTATTTCTTACTTGCCTCTTATAAATGTTATGTCTGTAATAAACAGTTATATGATTAAATTAACAATAACACAATAACTTTGGGAAAACTATATTACATATTACAAAATCCTTTGTTTTATTGGTTCTAAATTTATGTAAATGCTTCTTTTTCTTATTTTAATTTCTGCTGTAAATTTTAACAGACTATTACAATGTTTATGTTCAACAAAATCATTACATAAATGTTTTGAATATCCTTCCTAACAAAAACATGAAACAATATTTGATAAATAAATGTTATAAACGAGATGTCATCATATAGATGCATTCTCTCAGGTACCATATATAACATAAATTGTTACTGTCTTACTTTTTATTTTTGCTTTTTTCTTTAGCTTGCTACTTTTCCAAATAAATGCATGATTGTAATTGTCACTTTCATATATCAAATATCAAGATTCCAGATGAAACTTAAAGCGTTTAAAAAAATTAATACATCAAACTATAAAACACATTTCGCTCTTATAGTTAAGATGACCAGATTTCCGTGTCCTAAATTCGAAGCACTTCATAAATGTTAATCAAAGCGAAGCGGTAAAAAAGAACCATTATTATGTAAATAAATAAATAATATAAATATAATGTACAATTCCCAAAAATGTCAAACAAACTATCTAACACGTTCGCTGCCATGAGCGCAGTGTATGTGGTCCGGAATGCGGTACCTTGTGTGCCAGCGTCGACAGTGTGTGTCGGTTGGTCACATCAAAGTCGATGACGCCGCTGTGCGATAGACGACACCACCATGAATCTCCGTTGAATGGGGGAGGCGACGTGTATGAGTCGTGTCTGGCTGAGACTACGATTGGTGAGACGCGGGCATGCCCCTTTTTGAGTTTTAGGTGGCAGCGAACGTGTTAAGCCAAGATAAACCATGACAGCTTGATAGAAGCTTAGGAATATCAACGTCCTAAATAGTTTTACAAAAATCCGAAACAAAGGATAGAAATTCAGGGCTGGCACGGAAAAATCAGAACGTCTGATCACCTTATTATAGTATGACATTTATAAATCTTTATCACATTATTTGTCGGACGCCATAACTGAAACACAAACGTACCAACGACTCCTTACCTGAAAATTTTTTAAACTATTTTAATTGTCACGAAATATTATATTTAGATTAGCTGACAGTATGCAGTTAAACAAGGAAATACACGATCAAGAGTGCAATAATTGCTTGAAACTTATATTTATTCTGTTATTAAAGTAAAAACATTTACTTATCACTGCCCTCTGACGAGAGAATATGTAACGACATTTAATTATAGTTTTTGTAATATTTTTTTAATTTTTATGCGTTTCAAAACTTTTAAAACAAATATATATTTTGTTTAGACATGTTAAAAAAAAAATTTGATATTTGTGTATATGATTATGTGGTAAATAGCATATGCAATGAAATTCTTTAAAATACTATCCTTTTTATGTATTTAGCTAATAATACATTATTTTTAACAATAAATAAGAAGTTATAAAATTGTAATAAAGAATGCAAAGATACTTTATCATGTATACATTAAATATACACATATTTCTTTTTTTTTGTAATCTATACATTTGAGGATTCATCAGCGATTGTCTCCATTTCCCGATCTTCTGGTACCTCCGGAATATGACTTTGTGGTTTAGACAAACTTTTTTCCTTTGGAATGTAACATTTTGTGTCCAACACTCGATTTTCCTGAAGCGCGGGTACGTCACAGAAAAGACATCTTGTCTCTTTAAATTCTTGATCCAAACATGAATGAAAAATTAAACCACAGATTGGGCATGTTCCATATTGTACGCTAGTAATTTGTAAAAGGGTAATGGCACATCTAGGTAATATATGACCCTGTGGACACATAGCAACTTTCCAAGCAAGATCATTTATTATTTCACCACATAAATTACAAGTTTCAATCTTATTTTGATTGAGGTACGATGTTTTGTTTAAAACGTCTCTGGCACATTTAGTAAGAAAAGATGCTTCTTCATTTTCTTCTCCTGCTAAATATACTTCTAAATACATTCTTAATAAATTTATAGAGAGTTTGTGCTCTTCCAGCAGAGATGATTTACTTTCAAGATGCATAAGGTAATTGCAGGCAATGTGGACAAAAATTAAAGGCTGAGCTTCTGATATCTCTCCAGCAATACTACCTACTCCCTGGATGACTTGTTTTTTCTTACAAATTTCCATCATCACCGATATCCACATTGTTATTCGTAATTCATGCAAAGATAAAGATTCTAAATTGGATGGAACTTTCGGTAACACGGTTGACGGTTCTGACGCTTTTGCTGCTTTTATTCTAATCACTTCTAAACAATCCCATAGTTGGTCGAATCTCTCATGTTTTGTTTCTTTTAAAACAAATAATGGATCCCAGTTTTTATCTTTTAAACCAAACATGCATATTTTGCTTGGTTCTTTTAATAGTAAATGATCGTATGTAGTACTTGGGCTAGTTATATTTATAAATATTACAGAACTTAAAGAACGGGCAAGGCCCAAACACCGTACATGAATTTGTGATAATCTATTTTTCACTTTTATTTTCGAAAGGTAATTTTTTTGCGTGTTAATTGCAAACATAGCACCATTTTCTGTTGTAGCCAATGCATAATCAGCACTTATACATGTCATTCCTAAAAAGTATCAATTTTTTTATATTAATATCGCATTTTTCTACTCATTGTGTAAAAACAATTTATACTTTATTTACCTGAAATCATGAAGCCTTCTAATTGTAAATATTGCATACTTTTCTGTGTACCATCTGCTGTAAAGCACAATAAAAACACAAAACAACCTTTTGCAATGAGAATTTTTATATTTAAGTTACTTTGAGCAAATGTTCTTATAACACTAATAGGAATACGATCTGCATAATCATAATATTTTTCGGTAGATTTCAATTCAAGGCTCTGATTATGATCCCTAATTTTAAGACCATAAATACGTCCATCCAAGTATCCAATAATAATAAGAAATTCTTTTGTATCATTAGTACTAATCCAATGTAAAGTGTTTATTTTTATACATTCATTTAATCTTATTGTACCCATAATTTTAGGGCTTAATATTTCTTTGTAATCTGATAACTTTGGTATTTTATAAATAATTATATCTCCATTGTGATATGCAACAGCAAAATATGCAAAATCTATAAAAAGTTTACTCCAAGTGAAGCAAGAAGCTTGTAATGCTTTTATGCAAGTTTTTAATGTTATAAATGAAATTGGATTATTTTTCTTATCTTTCAATTTTCTGTTTATTTCTTTTTCCATAGTATTATAACGCATAGAAGACAAGTCATATGCAGGATACCAATCTGTAGAGATTTTGTAGACAATCATAATAGCACCTGCTGAAGTTAAAATTGCAAGAAGGCACTTGCTAGGATGGATTAAATTTTGTGGTGACCATGAGAAGTAAACTATTTTTGGCACCATTTCTCTTACATTAGATAGTTTTGGAGTTAAACTTTCTTCCATTATAAGTGAATAAATTGCTTCACGATGCATATTCCAAATTTTGGGTTCTATCTTATTAGATATCATTTCTGTTGGGAAAGTTGAAGGTGCATAAATGAAAGACCTAGAAAATTTTATGGTCCCATAAGGAGACATTGGAGAAGGTATGAATTCCTACATAAAATAACAATATTATAAAATAATTATAGATATGGTGCTAATATGAGGTTACTAATTATATTAAACTTACAAATATGTGAATTCCTTTCTCAGTAAGGATTGAAATGTGATTGTCTTCAGACCATTCAACTGCAAATTTGGATATAATTGGTGGAGAAATTGTAAGGCTGTAAATTTCTTCTGTCTCCATTGTTCTTAAAATACTTGTTTACATAATATAGAGATTTATAAAATGTATCTTTCCTTTATCTATAAAAATGTTATATTTGTAATAATGAAGCTTATTATATAATATAATTAACACAAAATTCACACAATATTGTATTATTTGATAATACTTTATTAATTTTCTACATTTTCTTCATCTTCCGTATCAGGATATACAAACTGATCGCAATAATTTATATAAAATATATACACAACAAAACAGCAACTAGTGAAAGTACATTTAAACTTTCTTATAAATCCTTTTATTTTTTCGTATAAACTCGATAAATAATTTATGCACATACACTGCATACAAAACTAAATCTTATAAGAACTAACCTATTGACTGTCATTAACTTTTTCTTCAGTGTTCACACATCTTTAAAGGACACATTGCTATGTGAATACATATTTAACCATTAACATTGAATTTTACCTTACACGATGTACGATTGTAATGAGATCAAATTTTACAATAAGCTTTAAAACATTTATGTTTCAAATTAAAAACACGATTCTCTCACTAACGAGTACCGCAATAGGAGCGTATCTCCTCTGTCGAGCATGGCTTCGAGCAACACTCTTCATGGACTCCCGGTGAATTTCTTCGAAATCTTAACATTCTCCTCGCGTTTTCAATCGATTTATAGGGATGCAGATCATAATTATATGCCATGTAATCGTCCATTTCCATTTCTGAAAAAAATTAATTTCTTAAATGTCCGTATTGTGTCAAGATAGAACCAAAATGTAGCACTAGAAAAGTGTTCAAATTTTCTCAATTTCCCTCCATTTTATACCATCCAATAGTACCAACTTTTTCAATTCTAGCATTTTTCTTCCTCTTTTTCTTCTCCTTCTTAGTCTTTTTTTCTAATTAATTTTTAACGTCCTATACCTACTTACCTTGATTACTTTTTTTAAATGGAGTATTATATACGCCTGCACAGACCCTTTGCAACGCACTCGACAAATTATCACCGCAATATTTGCGTACTTCAATTTCAGCCTGTCTCTTTCGTTCGTACCGAAACACATTTGATTTTGCGTGTTCCGCTTCCGGCATTAGGATTATTATCATGAGCATCAAACTTATGAGTGCATTTAATCGATATACAGACATCTAAAATCAAAACGACATTTTTAGAGCATCAATGAGATGATTATATATTCGAATTTCAGGTAACTTTCCATTTGAGAGCAAAGAAATACGTAAAGAAAGGTAATAAGAATACATTTTGTTTACTCTCATTAGTGATGCATAAGCAAAAGAAAATATTAATCGTAATTGTATTATAACGATATTATTAATATTATATATCCTAGTATTATCGATATAACATACAATGCTGTCATAATATAATTAATACAATATTCAAATGACAGCAATTTGAAAGTGTCAAAGAACTGCGACATCTATCCGCAATAAAAAGAATGTTGATATGATCTTTGTATACGTAGCTCGAACAGAGTAAATTTTCAAAATTAAAAGCGAACACTTTGTACGGATGAACTCGAAAATCAAGTATCATAAGTGAATTCTCAAGTGTGTCTATTTAAATCGCTTTTATTAACCTTTATCAGAACTTATCAACAATGTTGCCCCATGCTGTTGCTGTCGCGTACCAGTCGTCGAGGAACGACTTATTTTTAGATATCATTCGTGCAATTGTAAATCTCGTATTGTAAATCTTTCTGTGTTAACGTCCTGGTGCAAAAGTATTTTCAAATATCCCATAAATTTTGATATCCTCGTTCCTCCACGCGCAATTATTTGCGAAAAATTTTCAGAAAGAAAACCTGTGTAAAGAATCGGAGAAAATTGTATCGCCGAGGGATTCTTTTTTGGTTTTCTTCTACGAATATCAATAAATAAAAAGAAAAGAATATAGAATGTACTCGGTTCTTAACATAAAATGTACCATTTATTAGTGCTTTTTAGCAAGAGTTTATAAATAGAGATTTAGGTAAAGAAACTCGTACGAGATATCAGCGAACATTCAAATTTTTTGACATTAATAGTAATTATCATACTGACGAATGATTCACGAGTAATGATAACATACCATATTGATATAACTTCCTTCGCCAGCGCAGAGATATTATTTAACTATTATTTCCCAGAATGTAACATTTTATTCAATCAAGATTAATTGTATAGTAAAGAGGTATACTAAATAAAATTGCTTACTTACTATATGTTGATAAGATAGAGATCAGCAATAATATGTAAATATATATATGTAAATTTATCACAGGTTGATAATTTCTTTTTCTTTATGATTATTACATTAATCGAAGGATAATGTTTAAAATGTTCTAAATTAATTTTCGCCGTTGAATTTCACACATCAGTAAAGAGCATGGAACGATAAGGATTCAATAAACGAGAATGTGTTTTTCTTTGCACGTAATCGTTCGAGTGGAATATATTGTATTTCGAAGAGTAACGCGTGATGAAAAATAATACATATGATAATTTGTGCATACAAGAAGATTAGTTATTACAGAAGTTTATTTCTTTTTATACCTTCTATTTCAATAAAATTTTAAGTTGTATTTCAATATTCAAAACAAACGTAGTAGGAATGATAAGAATGTGGCAAAAAAGAATAACCGATAAAATGCGAAGTTAATGCTACATTTAAATTAAAAAAAGAAGTATATATGCAGTTATATTTATTTTTCTTTACTTATTTGTAAATTGAAAAATTTGAAATTTGAACGATGTTCGATTATTCTCGATTATATCGATTCAGTTTGTTATGTCGATTATATCGAATATATATATCGAATCGATTGATATCGAGTATTCTGTGCGATAATTTAAAGTAATAATTTGAATTCGACTCTGTACGCCATTAGATTCAACGAGAAGAAGTAGTTTGTGCAATTTCGAAAAGTTACCCCTCGATTAATGTTAACGATGATCGAGAAATTCCTTGGTGAATTCGAATATTAACATTCTCCTGAGTACGTATGTATTTTATTCATATTCTCTCTCTCTCTCTCTCTCTCTCCGTTTTCTTAATTATCTCCTTATTATCTCCAAAGTCGTAACATCTCACGGCGCAAAGGTGCACATATTTTTTCGGCAATCATTTATCGTTATTTTTCGATCCTTGTGATCGGAAAATAGTAATATTTTATAAGATGAGAATTTTCGGTGCTAATATCCTCTTTCAAATCAAATAGAAAAAGATTTGTCTGCGTTGATCGCTTGCTTGAGATATCGCGTTCACCTTCCTTCGATACTTGTTGCGCGAGAACGTTCATACTTATACATATAATTCGTAACCAAAATGTGCAGAGATATCAGTGATTAAAATAAAGTGAGTTGAACAGCGGAATACGATAATTCATAATAATGCATCCTTTTTTATTTCCGTTTTTCTTCATCTCAGTCGGTTCATTGGCATAATTAAACACGTTCCTCGTTTAACGATACTGTTGTATTTTTAATGCTTGAATACACATTTAAATACCTAACACTTATTACAACGAACATCCTTGGTACACTGTACTGAAGACTTTTGACACTCACTTTTGACTTCACTTTACTTGAAAATCTTTTTGTTAATTAAAACAAAGCAAGAAGAAAAAGGAGGTAGAACGACAAAAACAGAGAAAAATGAAGAAAAGGAAAAAGGAGAAGAGAGAGAGATGAGGAGCACACGTTCGTCCAATTACTAGAGTAGTTCTGCTCTATTTAAAATCGACAACCCGCCAAATATGTACATATACTCGGCCCCAACTCACTCAGTAGCAGATAGTGTAAACGCGCACTCTACTTTGTTCTTGTTTCTTTTCTTCTTTTAACCGAGCGTTATAGTCGTGTTCCTGACCGTTCATCGCTTTACTTTATTATCTATTATTACTGCTTATTACTATTATCGTTATCCGTGCTATTAACAAGGACTCCGTTTACAGTGATAGAAACTTAAGTTTAGTCTTAACTCTTTAAGAGGAGTACGCGAAGCCGCACTGACCTCAGATTATCTTCTTGTCAGTTCTTTTCTTACCTTTGAAATTTGCTATTTTTTAATCAGTGTTCTTTAACATGTATTTCGATCGTTTCATTTTTATTTTGTTCAGATGTTTGTCTTTGGAGAAGAAGTATAGGTTGATAAATACAAGCGAGAAGGAAAAAAATTATTTTTCCCGATACTCGCTGCATTAAAAAAGAAGATATTAACGTTAAAATGAATTTAACGTAATTATTTTCCAAGCCTTTTTGTTCTAAATTAATTGAAAAGTAGTTGGATATAGGTTTGAATGTTGAGAAGGTATAGCGACGACAAAACAAAAGATGTGCACATTTTTTAAATATATTTTACAAAACGTTCTATTCGTACAGCATATAAAACAATACTCTGTATTTATTTTATATTCACACATTAGCTCTATACGACTGTACCCCCATATTCTTTCGCTATACGTAGAATATAACTTTATACAGTATTCGGCGGGTTTTTTCAACGTCAATACTATGAAAGTGCGGTGTCTTTTTGACGTGTGGTTTCAGCATGCTTGCTACCAGGCGAGAAGACCGGCGTCGCCCCATCGAACTTCTCCGAGTTAATCGTTTTAGTCGCACGTTCCCGATCGATTGTCAATTCCGTTGCATCCGCGGTTACGCCTTTATCAAAAACCCTTCCAGACGAGAATTCTTGCTGGTCCTTTGAAGCTACACTCGGCTTCAACGGCCTGTCGTGATCAATGTGCGTGTCCTTCACTTCTGACTTCACTTCATTCAATGGAATTCTTGCAGGTTTCGTTGGACCCTTCAGATGCACAATGTGGTTATTCAACGAGTCCGTGCTGCTCTTCTTATGGCCTATATGATTATGGTGATTCGAGAAGACAGAGTCCGTTTTGCCTAGAAATTGGCTACCACTGTTTTCTATGTTTCCAGGACCACTTCTGCCACTAGAACTTCCAGCACTGTTGCTACCAGAGATGTCTCCCATGTTGAAGCTCCTCTCTTTGGGACCAACTTGCCAGAAGGAATCGTCGAACACTTCCGTGTCACGTTGCTCCGGTGGTAGTCTGCTTATGCGAGCCTTCACGATGGCGAGGTGTCTGTGCACGTAATCCTGATGAGGCGCCAAGGCTGCTGCACGTTCCAAACACTGGGCAGCCAGACCTAACTTACCACGTTCTACCATTACGACACACAAATTGTGGAGGCCTTGAATGTTTGTTGGGTCTAACTGCAGTATTCTACGGTAACACTATAAGTATTTCAAGACCTTCGTTAGCGTTTGTACGTACATACAAAATACTTGTAGAAATTTATTCTTAAGCTTACATTTTCAGCAGCATCCAAATCCTTGATATTATTTATGTAGATATCGCCCAGAAGAATCAATCCTTTTACGTGGTCTGGGTGGAATCTAACTAGCTGATTTAAAAAAGGAGCAGCTTCCAGGGGACGTTGTTCATCTGCCAGCAGAAGAGCTAGATTAAACAACGCTGATCGGAAATCCTCCTTCAGAGCAACTGCATTACGAAACCACCTTTCCGCGCTTCCGCTGTCGTGATCGTCCATAGCCAGCATTCCGAGATTAAAATGTACTCGTTCGTTATTGGAATCCTAACAAATAAACATTATGAAGAAATACTTTGAAATATTGTCTCGACATTAATGGAAAGAAAATTACTTTTCGTAAGAGCTTCAGAAGCCTTTCTCGAGCCACTTTTCGTAGTTCAGCACGTCCCAATTCTTGAAGCAAGATGGCTGAATTCAGTAACGCTTGTTCATGTTCTGGATCAAATTCGAGAGCTTTGTCCAGGTATGCTAAAGCTTGCGATGCTTTTCCTTGTTCTAGGAATACAACTCCCAGCTTTAAAAGTAAAATTAGTATCATGCACTGTTCTTCCTGTTAAATATCCAATGATTAAAATCTATTCACAATATTTACATTGTAGTAGATATCTGGATTGTTACTATCGTAGAAAAGAGCTCGTTCGTAAACTTCCTGGGCCTCTTTGGTACGATTAAGTTTAATTAAAACATCGCCTCGATTAATATACGCTTGCGTGTAATCGGCACGCATACTAATGGCCTGTCTATAAAGCAAATCAGCTTCCTCTAACCTAGTTGCATTCTTCGCTATTAGGTTTGCTAAGTTTACGAAGACATTCAAGTGATTCGGTGCTATCCGCGCTTGGTAAGATTCTCCGGGTTTTGCTTTAGGTAATAAGGATTTTGCCTATATAAAGAAACACAACATTATTATTTCATCATTTAATAATTTAATAAATAAATCGTTTGGGTTGAGTCACTTACCTTTAGGTATGCGTCTTCAGCTTCTTTAAACATTTTCAAGTGATTGTAAGTTCTGCCCACGTTGATGTGTGCCCCAATGTCGTCACCTTGAACTTGCACGGCCATATTAAAGAAATTTAATGCTTCTTTAAACCGACCTTGACTTTCCAAGGCATGACCCACATTATTGAACAATTTGGCATTGCGATCGTTTACTTTTAATCCTGACATAAATATAGAGTATTCATCCAACCAATCGTAATTTCTGATGAAAGTCTTCGTCGTGTGGGCAGCCAGAAGAGTAATTAATAAAAATAGTGTTAGTTTCTTGCACCTGCAAAATTAAAAAGAACAAATACGAATATATTTGAAAAATATTTTGAGTGCTAAAGAGTGTAAAAAGTTTACTTTTTGTCACATAAAATGTTCCATCCATATCCAATAAGCATACAAAATCCCATAGATGGGGCATACAATACTCTTTCAGCAATGACAAATCCAACTGGGAAGAAGAGATTTGAGGCAGGTAGAAATGGGAGTACCATCATAGCCAAACTCTGTATGAAGCATTCAAGTACAATGATATTACTTCTTTTTAAAAGAATATTTTCAGTTTAAGCAAAAGACTAAGCCAATATATAGTTGACACTAACCATTATAAGAACAATAGAAGTTTGTCTATTAGGTGTTAAAATTGCCGTTATTAACAATCCTAGTATGGTCGTGTGAGTTGCTACAGTAACAAGATTGCGAGGATCTGTAAAATTTTCTACCAATGGTATCGTTCCCATAGTCCAATCACAGCACAAATCGCTTGGAAGAAATAGCAGCCTTAGATTAACTGCTGCGAGGTAATTATAGGTAAGCTGCCTTATTGGCGTTGGGGCCACTGATGCGGGATTGTCAAATCTAAAATATAATTAAAGAATTATTTTTCTTTACTAAAGTCTCATTGAAATATTTGCAAAAACATGTTTTCTTATTTCAATATCATTTAAACATTGCATTCGTGTATTACATATAATATTGTGAAGATACCTGGTAAATACAGGTAACTTTGAGCCCATTACATGTAGCCGAAGAATCAGTAAACTAAACGTGACAAGTGTAAGGACTGTCAGTCGTTTTGTACCTTCACTGGACCAGGCAAGTGATATTTTTTTTCCACCAAAAGCTGCTTGTAATGTCAGGAAAATATCCATTGCTCTTACCTGAACAGGTAATAGAAGTCATAAATTTAGGTAAACACTTAATATTAATGTATACAAAATATATCATTTGGATATAATTTATATGTAGATCTACCTTTTGTACAACAAAAATCTCATACAACACACAAACTGCAGTAGCTGTTATTCCTTGTTCCTTGCATAACATAGCAGTAAAAACAAAAGACATAGATAGTATCAAAGATTTCCATCCTAGAAAGAAGCACAACAAAATTAATGTTTACATCTTAAATTTAAGTTAACAAGTACACATTATTTTTGAATACTTCACCTGTAGATCTTCTACTTCTGCAGCATTTAGTGTACGTGATTAAAGCCGCTAAGTAAAATAAAGAGGACAATGTTTCTGCTCCTGTAACCTTAATACACGATTATCCACTGACAATGTATCTAAACACGAACTAGGAACTACGACGCGATCGATCGCTCGACGTCGACCCTTTGAATCTGGACACAGTATTGAGACATTGTCGCCGAAGGGAAGAACAAGGACTAGAAATAATTACCAAATAATATTCTCATATAATTTCAAGGTAACGTCGATCGATTCGATCGATATGCAATGCAGTCTAAACAACTTACTGCCTCTGTATGTATAGGATGAACCGCAAACAGGAGAGAAGACACAAAAGTTGCAGAATCAGACAGAAACATCAAACAAGTCCTAGAAATGTTAATACTAATTCACAGCACTTAATACAAAATATGAAACAAGTTCAATGATAAACAAATAATTCTAAGCTATTAGTATTGCACAATGTATTTTGTTTACTACAAAATTTTTAATTTAATCCTTATTATCTGTAGCACTAAATCGAAATTGGGGGGAGGGGCGACTCCAAATATAAAATATTAACTTCAGCCAATCATTAGTTTCCAAAATATTAATGAAAAACTTTCAGTGCTATACATTGAAAACTGCGTATGCAGATGATTACATACATGATTAAGTTAGGTTAGATCACAATCCGGCCAGCGGTAGCCGGCCGGCCACGCTTTCAGTGGTTGTCACCCTATAAATACCGGGCCGATACTCGATGGCAACGACGTTGTATGGTTAGTAACATCTGGATAGGCAGCATTCAATGCATCAGTAACGTCTGTATACGCAGTTTCAATGTACAGTACTAAACTTTTTTATTAATATCTCGGAAACTAATTGACTGAAGCTGATATTTCATATTTGAGAACCATTTCCTCACCCCCCCCCCCCCCTTTCGTGTCAATCGGCCACCGAAACCTTTCGGAACTTTATCCATAAATCAATATTATATGTGAAATAACATATACATATTGACTAAATAGTTAAAAAACAGAAGACCACGTTAAAAAAAAAACACACCTGAAATACAATAAGCATACTCCAACATGTAGGATAACATTGAGTAAATGATATCCCATAGGGTCCAATTGATGAATCAGGTAATTCCATCGAAATGTGAGAACGCACAGAGGCCTATATGATTTGTGCGATTGCTCCTATTTGGAAAAAAAAGTTTTTTAAATAATGTATATATCATAGAGTTACATAAATTAAACATTTTTTTATAATGAAGCATTTTAACTATAGGTTTCATAGGATATTTCAGGAAGGTAAATAAAAATTTCTGTAACTTTTGATAAAGTGAATTCATGGGTTTCATAACATATAAAAAATAATTATTTTATTTTATTAACAACAACTTTCAGTAAAATCAAAGAAAACGTTCATACTCATTAAAGCAATTGACAAACAAAAAATTTGCTCATCTAATCACGAAAAAAATTGGTCTAGAAAAAATATTGATTTATCCCGAATAAAATTAAGAAAGCTTAAATTAAATGTGATTGACTTGCATTTGATAAGACAGAATCAGATCGAATCAAATCGAAAGAGAAGGAAAAGGAGGAGAAGAGTTCAACGGATCAATACACAAGAAGGTAGACAAGAGTGAAAGGGAAGGGGAAATCGAAAGCGCCTCTTTATAGTATCACCCACCTTGTGCATAGGAGTACCCCAGAAATCATTGTAAAAGACATTTTTCAGGGGTGTGTGAGGCCTTAGATCGCGATTATCCTTTATCGCTGAAATGTCATCGAAAACGAAGCCACAATTAAGGCTGTTTAGATACACGGCGAATGCGCTTATGGCGACAATCGCCGCGAGTGCTCCCCGCGCAGGCACTCCCATCACAAATAAGACATCGATCGGCCGTCTTTTTCTCGCGATTTTCGATCCAAAAACCCTGTCGAAAGCTTTTCTGCTTTCTTCACCGTCACTTTTTATCTTTGTCTCCTTCTTTCTCTATCTACTGATCTACCTATCTATCTGTCTAACTATATTTGTCTGTCGAGCCGAGAATTTAACCCCGCGATGTCCAGAAGAAATGCAGGAATCTCATCTCTAGGCACATAGACGTAGATACATTCCTCTTTGAACACATTATGACACCTATGTGTCCAGTATCCCCGAATACAAGCGCGCTTTCTCACAGACCGATCCCCGGAACTCGATGAAAGACATATCGATGAATGAGCAGGTTTCAGTAACCGGAAATACTTTGCACTAAGTGAATAATCGATAAACGAATCTACAATTACCGATGTGCGCGCGTTAAGATCGAAGTGTCAAACGATAGACGTGTATACGGTTGTACGGCAATGCACGCTACGTATCGTGAAACGAGTACAACGCAAGAACGATGTTACAACGGCGACGACGCGGATTTACTTTAGGGAAAACACGCATGCGCAACTTTCGACTAACCGCGAACTATGCGGTGCATCGCTGAACCGATATGTAACTTAAAAGTTTGTATTTCTTTAAATTTCAGATATTTTAATTGGAAGAAGATTAATATGAGTAGCTTTGTCTGCAGTAAGCGACTTATTGAAAGAGGTTAGAAATCTTTAAAAGTGCTTTATTATTTCTAGTAGTAGCAAACTTTAGATATCGTTAACCTAACATATGTTCGATTCCTTCAATTTATTGTATTGTAAGTAATTACAAGTAAAACATTGTTTTTATTTTTTACCATTCAAATATCAATATAGTAACTGTGATTAAGTGATAATTATATGAGTAATAATTTTCACAAAATTGGGAGAAATATTTGCAACGATAACAAATCATACTATGAACTCATACTGTCAAATTAGCGGAACTTTCTTCTTTTTATTTGATCATATATAATATTTGTAATAGATACTTTTAACTGGATATTTATTTTTATTTTTATCGTATATTTTTATTGAAAATGATCAAAATTTAATTGATATATTGACATTTTATATTAAAGGAAATGAAAAAATATATAAAACCTTTATTTATGAAGCATTTAAAATGATGTGACCGCGCACGGTGGGGATTAACCAATAGGAACATTGCGTCGTATTCAAACTGTGGTGGGAGAAGCTCTGTAGACGACTCGTAAAACGACAGTCGAGGTAGGCATGCCCTTAGCGTCGTTGTGGGTGACATTTGCGCTATTTGAAACAGTTTTTTGGTAGAGTTCCGTATTAAATTCGTATATCTTCTTACGATCGATAAAGTGATCATTACCAGAAACATCAACGTGCTTGCTCCGACACCAGCTAACGATTCAAGAGCTTTTCGACACACGGAAAGAAGAATTCTGCTGCAAAATTCAGTGGCGTCCTTTCTGGATATTCCGAAAAGCGTAAGTGTATACAAACTCTGTTTTTGCCTGCTCTTGCCGGCAATGCAATTTTCACGATTCGTACAATGAAAGATGCATTGAACTGAATCTTGATAAGCTACCAGTTCGTAAAAACTACATAAACAAGCATGAACAATTCACAAGAACATTTTTAAGTACTAGTTACTAATTCTAGAAACGAAAAATTCCATAAAATATATTGTATTGGAATATTTTTATATTTTTTGTAAAATATAAAGTGATGCATCTTTTAAATTTGTACTAGTTATACGAGAAGAAAAAGAAAAAATTAAATAGAAAGTTAAACGGTATTCGTAGCTGGTACATAGTTTTATGAAAGGTACTTTCTAAGAATGATTTATTTAGTTATTAAAATGAAAGAATGCATAATATTGCGAAGAAAAGAAGATCGCTATGTATGAATCGTATTCATGAAAGAGAAAGTTGGACGTATTTATTTCGGAACTGTGCGGCCGTGGCGATGCATGAAACGTAATATAAAGGGCTGCAAGCTAGGGGAGAAGAGGTACAAACAAAAAGAGTCACTTTACATTTCGACCGGTAAGATTTGTTCGATCGAATTTTTTGATGGACCGACAGCTTACTACCCCCCACCTGCTGCATTCGAATGTAACGTTTCTTATTGTTAGACATTTTTGAATATAAAAAACCATTGGCGTGTACGCGTTGTTTTTGTTTAAATCAGCGATGAATACTAGTCTGAAGAAAAAAGAGTGATAGTGGAGTACGTGTTAAATAATTGTTATTTAAAGCAAACTATTTATCATTTTCAATTTAAATTAAACGTAACTTTATTTATTTTGCGTTGCGATATCAATATATTCTATCGTCAAATGACGCCGTTTAAGCGATAGTTAAGAAATTATTATAAATATATGAATTTAAATTTGAATTTTTGAATTTGAATTTCTAGTTTAAATACTTTCGGGTAAGTCGGTTTCAATATTTCAGGAACAGAAATTAATTTTATTTGAATATTTAATTGCTGTGTTATTTTTAAATTTATAAACTGTATTTTTACATACTTCGGTTATAATTGTCGATGGAATTCGTATATTAATACCAAGTAAAAATCTGTACAATTTATTGAAATGACTTTTCGTTGTCGGAAAAATAGAAGGGAAGTAACTACGTATAGCTAGACTTCTGGAGGCAATAGGCTCAGAGAGCAATGCCATCCGATCGATCGGTTTACGTCTGGGCGTCCCGACGCCAGCTGCAACGCTGATACTTATATACAGGGTGATCCACATTGTGGTTTCCCCGCGCGTTTTCCCTTCGGTTGTATAAACGAATACTGAAAACCATATTTTCCATTATAATACTTTTTCCCAAGGAAAAAATGTGTATAAAATTTTCTGTGCTGTAATATTTATTCACAAAACGATTACTTTCTTTATTATAAATATGTTTGCAAATAAGCGTAATTGCACAGGTAATAATATATTAATAACTAAATTATGAAGTAATACAAGAATAGAGTATATGGTAGATTGTATCAAATGAATAATTTAGTAGATTAACTAATTAATTTATTACAAAATTTATATCAATATCTACTGTGAAGAAAAGCTATGTTGCTTCTGTTCATGTATTGCATAATCATTTTATTGAATATTGCTGATTGAATGAATTTAATTGGTGTCGGATTTGGTCGATTTTTAGAAATAAAGCATGAGTCAGGGAGACCAAGAGAAGAGCATGGATAAGAAGGAAATTGCAGAGGAGGAGAGGGAGAAGATGTTGAACGCTGAAAACACGAAGCACACCGTGGCATCGACCGCTCCAGACGCGGAATCCGAAGACCAGAAACCCAAGAAGAAGATTCCAATAGGCGGTATTAAGATGCCCGGCTTCTGTCGTACAAAAAGCAAGGAACCTTGCAAAGTAATTGCAAAAGAACATTTCCTTTAACATATTTTGGCAATGGTTTTTCTCCTTTTCCTTCTAATAATAGTATAGCGCTTAAAATAATTCCTAAATTGATTTCCTTAAATGACTACTTTATCTTTCTCTCCAGCAAGATATCTCAAGTTCCAAGAGCTGTAACGTACTCTACACCCTGTACCAAAATATCTGGCACATTTTCTCAAGAAATCATTTCACCTCCGGATCGTAGCTTGTATTTTGTATTATCCTGTAGAAGTTGCAAGTTAAACGCAAGACAAATATTTCTTTCATTTCTAATGTCTCATTCATCCTTTAGAATTATGAAAAACGATAATCTGTTAACACGATAAGTGCCACGATGTCATTGATGACCTACGGTCAAAATTGTAATGACATATTATTATTTTTAAATAATAGGCAACCCAAAAAAAAATACTGATGAATTGATCTAACCCGCTGCAAAGTATGAGTTGTTCTGCGGAAATTGTTCATGATTCGTGTTTTTTATAGCAGGATGTGACCTTTATTGTTATCATATCACCCAGGTTTGTGGAAAGATAAACACAATTGATTCGCCGCTTAACATGTTAACTATCGTTAAAATTCATATATTCTATTAAATTAAATGCACCCTGTAAATATTTTACATCATGCACATTTTTGTAGTCACGCGATCTTTGCTGTAGATAATGCATTAATGTAAATCTTAAATGGTACGTGCGTAGCATTTAATTATTTTCACCATATCGGAACAATTAATGAACAAGAGTTATTCGAATATAAATTTTCTTTTTGGTCGATTAACGTCTGTTTACGATGAAACGACATCACTTAAAGAACACAAGTTCCTGGAGCACCATAGCGTGTTCATGAGGGGTGCCCATAGCCCCGTAACGATTTTTTTCCAACATTAAACTAATGGATGACGTCAGCCGAACAGTACACCTGATATTATTGATCGCAAGCCCTTTAAATAATCATCGCTGCGATAAATGATGGTGATGATGATGATCCTTGAATTGAATATCAATACCTTTTCGTACAGGAAAAAGATAATTACACTGCTTTTTTGCGACATTGTTTAAAAGCAGGAGGAAACAGATTTTTTTCTTTTAATGTGCGTTATGTTTTTATTGTTAGGATGATGAGGGTAAATCTGCTGAAGCCGGCGAAGGCGACACAACAGAAAAAAATGCTAAAGAAAACGAACAAAATGTGACTTCAGAGAAGACGAACACGCCTAGTAAAGACGCAAAAGAAAAGGAAGGGCGAAAAGGAATCCTTGACGCTATAAAATTACCCTTGGTCTCCGTTTTTCCAAGAAAAAAGAACAAAGTAATATTATTGAATGTTTAAATTTATATTTCAATATTCAAGATTTTGTGTATGAAAAATTCAATAAGTAGATATCCGATAGTTAAATTTAAATTTACCGAGGGAAACCCTATAGAACCTTAAGACGCAATTCAGAACACTCGAGCACGTACTGCCTTTTGACGAGGTATTCTCCTCACCATTGATGCATACTTTTCTCTTTTTGCATCTTAGTTAGTCACGTTTTAGCGTATGAGAATGCAGGATGCATTTATATGCAATAACGCAGAATATGTGAAGAATAATTTTTTAAATTTTCTTTAAACCCTTGCATATTCTTCAATGTTCTATCATATATAAACTAAATATTAATACTAATTTTTTATTTTACGATCTTCCTTCGAACTGTTACTTGTATTTTTCTATTTGTAAATTGATGTAATGGAAGAAATATCTTATCAGGAAGGTGAAGTGGAATTGGGAACTACCGGAACTGCTGGATTAGCCAGTGTCGAGACTCTTGATGATACTACAGGAGAACAAAATCCTATTGGCAACGAAGACGGTATGGAAACCATTCGACTCGATGGAGATGCACCGGATGGAATCGAATCTCCTAAGCAACACTTTCTTGTTGCTTGTATATCCGCTGCAAGAAGAAATATGTTCGTGCTAGGTATGCGATTATTTTACAATGATACAAAGCAAGAAAAATATATCTAATTGCCATAACAATATATGTTACAATAGTGGCAACGCCGTGCATTCTGATATCAGTTGTGATCATTATCTGCATCGCATGCGTCGGTCCAAGAAAGGGTGCTTCACAGCTGGTGAAGGATGGAAACTTCGTCGGAGCAGTGACTTCTTGTGGTCCTGTACAAGGCGTAACAGAGGATGGTGCATTCGCATTCCGTGGAATTCCGTATGCGGTTCCGCCTTTAGAAAATCGTCGCTGGCAACCCGCAGAACCTCTTCGAAAAATTGAATATTGTTGGCCAAACATTTACCAGGCACACAATTCTTCGGAGGTCTGTTGGCAATGGGAGGCCTCAGGACGATGGATTGGAACCGAAGATTGCTTATACTTGGATGTTTTCACACCTAAAGTTAGATACGATACACCTTTGCCGGTAGTGGTTATGATTGGTGCAGAGACTCTTAGCGGTGGCTCTCCTGGTGTAATGCAGCCTTCTGCAAAACTTGCTCGTGTTCGGGATATGGTTTTCGTCAGACCTAACTTTCGGTTTGTTTTAATTTCCTAACTTAATTATTTGGTAATGTTCAAAATAAATAGTACACTTGTACACCTTAGCAAATAATAAATGTATATTTGTAATATATAAATTTTTCTACCAATTAGCTCATAAATTTGTACGTGTACAATGTAGATTTCTTTTCATATTTCAGATTAGGAATTTTCGGTTTCTTAGCTGCGGAACCGCTTTCAAGAGCAACACATCTTCCTACATCCGGAAACTATGGACTCTCTGACATCATAGCAGCTCTTCAGTGGGTTCATCTAAATATCGAAAATTTCGGTGGGAATAAGTCATCTGTTACTTTATGGGGGCACCGAGCAGGAGGAACTCTCGTGACAACTTTAGTTGGCATTCGACGAGCTAAAGATCTCTTCCAAAGAGTTTGGATCTCCAGTGGTAGCGCAATATTTCCTGGAAAGGAATTGGATGCTTCAGAAAAACTTAGCGCACAATTTCTGAATTCTATAAGGTGCAATGACGCCGCCTGTCTACGAAGCAAGAGCGCCGAGGAGATAATGGATTCAGTTCCAGAAACTTGGCACGTGGGAGATGTTGGTTTACCTGAGCCCAGGGAGACAACATCAAGAGACAGAAGACATGAGTGGCTAGTTCTCGATGGTGCCATTCTTCAAGGGCCTGTCGGCGAAATTTGGGCACGGGAAGAATTTTCAGTAAAGATCGTGATGGGTACTACCGCTCATGCTGGAGCTCCTCTTAAATATCTCACTTCTAATACCACTCTCAATTCTACGCAAGTGGAAAAAATTGTAAGGGAGTCTTTACTAGGAACAACGGGCATGGCTGATGAAGCTCTCAGGTTACTATAATACTTTGTTATAATTTTGTTACTATTCACAACACTATTTTATTAAAAATTGGAATAGAAATGAAAAAATTAGGAAAAGAAACTTATTTATTTTTCAGACGTTATAACGCAACATTGGAAGGTTTGCTAAGCATGATCTCGGATATTCGTGTTGTATGCCCGCTACTCACAGTTGCCAGAATGAAGACTAATATTTCGTTCTATGTGGCAACGCAACCACGTGGTCAATTCGCAGATCCTGATAGCGATGCTGCAGGAATACTTGGATCGTATGCAGCACGTACACCCGCTGAAAAAAGACACGTGTCTGCAATGCAGCAACTCTTCAATCACTATGTTTGGCACGGCGAGGTAGCTCAAGCAGATCGTAACGGTGTAAAACGAGTTCTGATTGTTGGGCAAGATACGCTTCCCGATCGTGATTATCCCAACTGCGACTTTTGGATAGGAAAAGACATCGTTCCAACTTACGGTCGAGTAGATTGAGTCGATTTTTTGGTTATATGTTTGATGGACATTCCACGATTTAGACCAAACCTGAGATATTTTGTATGAAAAAGATGATTTTGCTTGCGAACTTACCAAAACGAAAATACGTAAGAAACAAATTGATTGCGATTGATTCAATAACTAGAGGACGAGGTTTTTGTTTGTAGGAATAAAACATATCTATTGTTAGTTTTCACAGCAAAAATGAATTAAACTTTATGTTGCTTTTTTAATCAATCTTTTTTTTATTTATATTGTAAGAACTGTCGCAAGTATTTTTTGTCAGAAATTAGTTGAGAACCTGAGAACTAAACTTTTATTTGAATTTAATAACGTAGCATTTAAAATACTCAGCCATATCATATGAATTTTGTAAGATAATGATAGAAGCGGACAAAATGCACATTACTTGTTTTCTTCGTTAAATTTTAAGAGTAAAATAAGTAATAGTTGTTCGGAAATCCAGATTGAAGTCTAAAACTATTATAAAGTAGTCCTTTTTTTTCTTTTTTCTTAAAAGTAACGAAATTACTAATCGAAACATTTGCATCTTATTTAAATATTTTCTGTTCTACAGCTTTACGATTTACGCTGCCTTTGAAGATATTGATATTATTTATTATAACTCAGATAAGTACAAAATGATATTTTAACACTTCAAAATATGAAATGTGAGGGAAGAACAACAATTATTTATTAATACGACTTCACTGGTTGAACAACAACTTAGAAAATATTTGTCCCGCAGAATGTAAACTCCGTCATGAGTTGTCCATGTTTTTTTTAGACACGACAAAGTACTCTTTATTAATTTGCTTTAATGTACTGTTTATAGCATATAGAAAGGAATATCTACTGTCATTTTTCAAGAAGCTGCCAGATATTTATACATGTAAACATTTCAAGCATCTCCGTAAACGATATTCGTTTTGTCTTTGTACATATATCACTGTTGTCTTTTTTTATTTCAATATACTCAAAAAATATTACTGCTCGCGTAATGAGCATAGAAACACACACACACACACACACACACACACACACACACACACATTAGATCTGATTTTTAAACTGTAAGACTGATTTCACAAATCGGCATTTCATTTGTGTATGAATGTCCTTTTTACATTAGTTTTAACTGAATAGCTTTATAGTGTAAAAATGCTGTTCTACGAGCAGAATTTTTATTGTATTGTAAATGAAGACATGTGCAAAAGGTTTTTCCCTATGTTGCCATCACTGTGTATTTATGGAATTTATGGTCACACCGTCACGTTTTCCCAATATCAAATTGCACTAAGGCACATACTTATTCCTTTTATCTTAAAATTTTAGTAGATTTAGGAATATTATATTTACCTTCGCAATTTTTTCAATTTAGATCGTACATTTTTATGTACATATTTTACTAATTTAAACAAAAATGCGATTGTAAAGGAACTATAAAAGCATACAAAAGTGAAAACTAAACATTTCTAAATCTACTAAAACTTCAAGGAATAAAATAATTTTTTAATCTTGTGCGTTCGAATGTTTGTGTGGTACATTCAGCAAAATAAAATGTCATTCATTTCTTCAACTTTGTAATCAAAAGGATCATTATTTACTATGGTCATATGCATAATAAGCATTATTTATTAATACAGTTATTATAACAGAATAATTCTTAATAATTTTAAGCATCTCCTTCTTTTATTTGTTAATGTACGATCATAAATTTAATTATTTTATTTTTTTCATATAGCATTGTAGAAAACGGGGAAATGCGCTATTGAATTACTATATTAATTTATATAATACAAAATTTGACCAAATTAAAAATTTATGGGCCTTGGAAGAAGTGGCCTTAGGACAATTTTATACAATTTGCTACTATCTGTATAAAAGAATATTGAATATAATTGAGCAGAGGGTTGAATTTCTAATAATTGTTTTATACACATAAGATCGACGGATTTTGAAATTGTTAAAATTCAATTTGCAGAGAAGGTTCTTTTTAAACCATTATCAATTTTAACCTATTTTAAAAGAACATGATACGTACAGAAAATGAATATTAAAGAAGGGGATAAAAAAACAGGTGAAGGAAAAAAATATTTATACAATTATAGTTATATCCCATGGAAAATATTAAAAAGTCATGAAAATAAATAAATGTTAATACCAATGTTTATATTTTTAAATATGTATACACAGCATTCTACCTATAGATATGAAATTTTGTATAAACTATAGGTTACAAAACATCAACTGTCAAAATTTTAAGTATATAGTTTCTTATGAGTTTTATTCAAATTATATTTCGTAAAAAATTATTAATTTCAAATAGAGTAATAAAATTTTGAGCACCACTGATGAAGAATGTAAAAGATTGATTAATCATTTTTACACATAGATATAAATGAGAACCACTGCTTGGAATTCCTGACTACTTGGTGGACAATCTTACGTTTTAGAGTTAGTGGAGCAACGATAAGTGTAATGTTATATGGTATTCCATAGTTGTCTCTGGAATCAACAGGTAGATTGAGTAAAGTTTCTTTAAAATTAAATAAACCGGTCTCTTTGAATGTGAATCAACGAAAAATGTACCGATACAGTCAGAAAGAAACTCGGATCACGGATAACCAGTGAAAAAAAGATTTATTTTCGAAAGCGTCTGCGAAGTATACAGATAAATTCCTCGCATTCCAACGTTGGTCCAGGTTCTTGCGAGGCCAGCATCTAGATGAGAATGTTACTTTTGTGATTACTCATTCGGTGACATCTGAGGAATGTGGTAAGCAAATTCGCTTCCTCCTACGCCTCGCAATTTCTTTTTCTTCTTATATTTCTACAGTAACTATTTTTTTATGTCCGGCTATGAGGATTTTTATCTTCTTACTTCCCGTTAAGTAACTGACATATTTCAGATAACATACCAGTTCGTGAAGAATGAATTTTTAATTTAATTTTTCTGAACATTGTTTTCAAGTTTTGATTGTAATATCATGTCATTCTTTTTACTTTAATTTTATGTTTATATTTGTTGATATTGTCATATATGAAGAATTGAAAATACAATTACTAATAATGCGTAATGCGCATAAAAAAGTTAGTTTATTTGAATTTGTATGTATCGATAGTTGGACTACATGTTGATTTGTAATTAACTTCACAATAAAGTTGAAAATAATTTTTTAAATGATCATTCAAAAAATAAAATAATTTATCTTCGTATGAAAAACATTAGAATGTCACTTTTTTCTTAATTATTGAAGATGAATGAGGTATTTATGAATTTTATTCGAAATTTTATTAACATAAGATTTTTTTATGAAAGTAATATAGTATTAATTATTCAACATATTTTTTAACTTAGAAATCATTAAAATTAAGAGAAATATTTGTTTTTATTTTTTGATAATTGTGGTATTACAATTTATTAATGTAACAATTTGAATTTCAGTTAGAATATAATTTTTTTCCACTGTATGGAACAACCCCTATATTGTGGAATGTGTGGCATAGGTTGACCAGAAGAAAAGGTGCTGGATAATCCAAATGGATAACAAAAGCCCATTATGGCCCAGCATCTGCAGACACAACATCAGCACGAATTTTTACCATTGTGTGATGTCTTATTCAACATAATTTCTCTTGCATCATATTTTTGTGACGTTGTTTTTGATTTTGCAATGGTATATGCCCTTGCACACCATTCTGTAGCTCCTCCAATACTTTTTCCATTAAGTATTATTCTCATAGCAACTTCATTAGTTATTTCTCAGGTCAGTGGTTGAATTAAACACTAAAATATTGTAATTAATTGTAATTAATCTATTTTTAATTGATTTCAGATTATTAGTGTACGATGGTATTTATGGGGTGCCAGGGGCAAACTAACTGGCAACACTACAACAGATTGCAATATTAATGAGAAGAAAGAAAATGGAAATTGGACAATATGGTGTGTTCTGTTGCTTCATTCAACTCAAGTTGGAGTATTATGGAGATATTTCAAATTATTTATTCCAGTTAACTTAACTTATGTTAAACACGAGGTAAAAAATAAAAAAAGAACATGATTTATGTATCTACCCAACATAATTTTTATAAAATCTGTAATGTTATGATACTAGGTGAGGGAACTTTGTGTATTACGCCTTATTCATGCATTCTGTGAAGCTGCACCTATGTTGCTCTTGCAATTCTATCTGTTATCAATTGGAGTCAATAATGAATCAAGTGCTGATGTTGGTAAAGCAAAAGAAAGTGAAAACAGGGAAAGTGATAAATTAGCAAAACTGACTGCAGTATCTGCTGGTTTATCTCTGTGGAGTGTATGTTGGGCAGTGGCTAGTTTTAGTAAAGGTGCAGCACGTCTTCGTAATTTAGAACGTTTAGTATTGACATGGCTAGGTGTGCTGGCACAACTAGCATGGCGTTTAGGAACTGTAAGCGCTAGAGTAGGAGTACTAGTAGCTTATGCTTCACTATATGGTGGGCAATGGTTATTAATTGTCATGGCACTCCATTGGTTATCAATGTTGATGTGGTTGCTACTTACTCCAGATGGTCTTTTTCACGGCGGCGAACATTTGCCTATTTTAAGGAAAACATCTTTGGCTTCACTCCTTGCGTTTGTTTATATTTTCGCGTATGTAAATTTACACGAAACAAATCATCGTCAAAAAATGGTATGTTTTTAATATATCTTATATTTTTAATCATAATCCATTTAGAAATGAATTCGATTTAACATGTTCAATACTTTTGTACAGGTAATATTTTACACAGTAATGTTTCTGGAAAATAGTTTACTCATTGGTGTATGGATAGTGGGTGTCAATAGAACAGACCTTCTTCCACACCAACATCACCCAAATCCTGTAACTTTAGTACTTACACTATTAGCTTTATTCTTTGGTGGTATGTTTTTCATGGGTCTCTATTACCGGTAAATTTTCATTCTTCATTTTATAAACTGTACTTTTTAATAATAGTAATTATCGTTGACTTTATCGGGAATTCTAGGTTTTTTCATGTACGAAGATTGAGGTATGAAGCTGGCGGTAGAATGACGGCGTCAAATCTCACAGCATTATCAAATCAAGTATGGGATTAAAAAGAACGTTTATGAGAGAAACAAATATAATATTTAAAAATAATAAGTAACAGTTTTTAACAAAAGAATAATGTTTGTAGGATAATATAGAAGAAAAGCAAATAGAATATACAGAGGACAAAAAATTAAGTATGAATGTAGGTGTGAGAAGAGTTAAATTGAGTAATGGTGGAATACCAGGTGTATTCAATTGTCGCTTCGCCAATCCAGCTGCGGTAAATCCAAATCGTAAAAAGAAGAAGCCAACAACGTTTGTACCTCCTCCTCCACCGCAATCTCAAACTGGAGCTGTTACAACCTCCATGAACACAGTGGGAGATGCAAAACAGTGGCTTGGTGTGAATACCAATTCACGTCAATTAATACCATTCTGGAAGAAATCCCTAAATTCTAGTGTAATGCAGGTAATACTGAATTGTTTTATTAATACAAAAGAAGAAACAAAGACAATATTGTATAAAATTGATTTTCATTATAATTTTACACATTCACATGTTCTTCCTTAACTTATATTAGATGTTCATTATTTTGAGGTAGAATGATCATTCGAATGAACAGAAAATGGGGACTGATGCTGGGACTGCTGGCTCCTTAAGTGCAAATCTAATAAGAGAAAAACTTCAGGAGAAAAAGCAACAGCAATTACGAGAACTACGAGCTATACAAGAAGAAATAAAGGAAGGAAAGTTATTTCCTCCGCCATCAGCTTCAGCATCCTCATTCTCGTCCTCACCTGCATCGAATCAGCAACCACCACCTAATACGAAGTTGCATACTTCCCCTAGTTCTCCTTTATTTACATCTGCACCATCAGTAGGTGATCAAAATGGAGGTGTAACGTTATCTTCTTGGCCACCGGTGAAAATGCACTGCCTTTTACCTCTGCCACCATCTTCTTCCTATTATCCAAACGTTCATCCTTCAAATTCGTGGAGGACGACGCAAAGAGAAAGAGCGGATACACCAGAAATTTTACTCGCACCGCGATGTCTTCCTCATCATTGTTCCCATTGGGCACCATCCACTCACGTTAATCACCGGTAAGTAAAGATTAAAGATCTATTTAATAGATGTGTTTTAAAAATTACAATTTTTAACTTAGAGGACCGTTAAAAAATCAATGAATAAATTATAAAAAAAAATTACAGATTACGCTCGAGTCAAAATGGTGGAGAAGAAAGTTCTAAGGGTGAAGGAGAAGTAGAAGGTGAAATTAGCGACATGGAAGGTAGTCAAGTGTCACTGCCACGAAGCTATACACTTCCCCGTGAGTTTAAATATCATCATCCAAATAACACTGCCAGAGAACGGGAACGACGTGTAGGAAACAGTAAAGTCACAGTCTCGCGTTTTTACTTGCCTTCGACTAATAGTTCTGATGGTGAGTCACGTTTAAATTCATCAAGATTTAAATCTAAAATTTAATTACGCTTGAATGTTTGTTCTTTTTCAGGAGATGTAGATAGTGCAGATAACGAAGAGGAAACGGATTCTGAGGTACATTATCGCATGAAAAACAGTCACGGGTCTAATAATCATAATGAAACGCAACAACAACACCAACAACGATTTGCATTCGAAGATAATAACAAAAATGAGTTTTTGAACTCTAATCTAGATTCTACGGCAACTGTTATCATTTCCGGAAATTCTTATCTTAATAATTCTCAAGGATTGCTCCGTCCGAGTCAATTGTTTAGAAACAGGGTTAAACATGAAACGAAGCTCTAAAGCTTTCGTTTTTATTAACATACCTATTTAGGGATTGTATAATAGTCAATTGAAAATTTGAAACAAAAAAGACTGTACATGATCTATTTTTATAAAATTATTCATTTTTTACTTAGATGTTCTTTAATATTTTTACATTACAAATTAGCATCCCTAAAGTTTAAATATTGACTATAATTTTTGTACATAAAAATAGGGATGAACATAGATCTTTCAGATAGCTTTGCAATTGTTCCTTGTAAATGATGGGTAGGACTGTGTACAAATTTAATGCATGTTAAACCACCAGGTATATGTTTATTTAAATAATCAATTTTTACAATTTAAGTATATAGGATTTGAATAATTTTAATATTTTACGCACTGTGCGAGTTCTTTTTCAATAAATTATTTGTATTTTGTAAGAAAATACACATTTTAAAATCTATACATAGCACTGATTACTTTTTGCACACATTGCTTTCATAGGATAAATTATATAAACAAATGAGATATGTAAATTTATAACATGTATTTCGTATTGAAAAAATAGATATGTAGATTGTACAATTATTCAAAATATTATTTAACTTATTTCAGTCTTTTTTCGTATCTATGGTACGTTTATTTTTAGTAAGTACTAGGAATGTATAGCAAAAAATATTTACTATCAATGTTTTATTTTACAAATATGAATTATAAAAACTAAACGGAAAAAGAGGCGCATTTTACAAACAACAGACAAATTTTACATATATATTTTTTTTATATAATACACGGTATATTTTCATCTACGTTAAGAATATATAAATCAACAATTGTACATAACAAAATCATTAGAAAACATTTGGATTCATATAAATATTTCACGAATTTATATGTTGTATATTAGTGCCAGTTTCTTAAATAGAAAACCAATTTTGTGCTAAATTGACAATTTCAAATACATGCAATATAAGTTAAGGATGAACTGTACATATAAATTAGTTAACCGAAACATGTTATTTTAGACACTTCGATTAAATTTAAACGCGTTGAACATACGTACTTTAAAGAATAATTTCGTTTTTAAAATTTCTTGTCAGTTCTTTATGCGGTAAAACAATCGAATTTAGTACAATTTTCTCTGCTGCCAAACGTACACTAGTTCCTGAAATATAAATAGTAAAAACATATACTAATTCGTTTTGTTTAGATAATCAATTAATGAATCACTTACCGAGAATTGTTATAGAAGGATTTAGTTTTCCGTTAGCATTAAACAAAGGCAAGTTTTCCATTTTTACAAATGGTTTGTCAGGATTGGGATCACATGGTGTCCCTTCTATACGTGCCCATTCTCCTACATAGCTGCTTTTTCCCACTATACTGTGTAAGATAATGGAATGTGCCTGAATATGGGCATTGGCTAATATGATTGACTCCTTTATTCTAACACCAGCAGCAATTACAGCATTTGGGCCTATGCTTACATTTGGACCTAACTGTAAATAAAATAACATTGTATTATAAAGTTTATGTTTCATTTTGATAAGGAAAGTAACTTTTTGGAAAGATTTAATTACCACTGTTGTTGAATGTACAGTAGCAGAAGGATGAATATAAACATCACCAATAATCTGACAAGGTCCATCAGCTGCAGAAGTAAGATGGTTTGGATGTTGTGTCTTAAATAAAGTTAAATAGTGACAGTTGGCATGTATAGCAGAACCTGCAGTTTTAACTTGTGACCACCATCTTAGAACAGGTAAAGCAAATAAACGACCAGTTCCTGCTAATCGTGTTAATATATCTTGTTCAAGAGATATATGAGCTGGATCTTTACCATTACCATTAAACTGCCTATGAAATAATTTTTAATTGGAACTATTATATTGTTCACAAATAATTATTCAATAAATATCTTCTGAAAAATCATACATCAAATTTTCTTGATTCTGTCCTGCATTAAATACATCAGTCATGGTTTGGAAAATATCTAAGGAAGCAAGGTAGATGCCACAGTTGATTAAAGTTGAAACAAATGTTGATGGTTTCTCTACATAATGAGCAACTCCTCCATTCATATCAAGAACCATACACCCATAATTTAAGGATTGTTGTTTCGTTGCTTCAGTAGCCATAGCAGTAAGCAATGCTTGTTTCTCTTTATGATATTCTACTATTTCTTGTAAAGAAAAATCAGCACACACATCACCATTCATCACAAAGAAATATGTAGGTCCACCAGACCTTATTTGATCACGAAAATGATATAATCCTCCTGCTGTTCCTAATGGTGTAAACTCTTGAAGATACCTAACTGTTATATTATATGTACTTGTCATTTCTTGAATAAATTGAGACAGATCACTTGCAGGATATGATCCAATTATCAATATTTCAACAAGATTTTCCACTTTAGAACATGCTTCTACATGATATTGTATTACTGGTAATCCAGCAATTGGAAATAATGGTTTTGGCATATCCAAGGAAAGTGGCCTAAACCTTGTTCCTGTAAAATATATTTTCGAACTTGAAATACCATAAAATTTATTAACTTTTATTTAATATTCAATCTAAATATGTTAACTTTCAGTGACTATCAAATCTATAGATAATTATATTTAAGGTTATATTTTTTTATAGATCGTAACAACTATATAGGAATCACATGTATATAAAAAAAAAACAAACCTTTTGAAGGGCCTCCAATTAATATAACAGATTTGAGTATCATTTTTATAAATTAAATAAAATTTTACTGCAACTTTACAAATTTCTTTCGCAACAGTGATAAAAGTGAATATACTGATAAGTTTAGGAACACATCAAAATTTCCAGTTCATAAATTCCAATTCAATGGACAGGATAAGATAAGAACTAGGACTTCCTGGCAAACAGCAGAGCAGCAAACTTGAGCAAACCTTGAACAGAATTTTTATTATCATTAAATAATCGTAATCAATTATCTCAAACTTGTTTTAAAATGAAAAAATAAAGTATATGTTTAAACAGTAAAAAGTGACTTCGTTTCACAGATTATTTTATTCTGCATTTTATTTATTTTCATAAAAGAATAGTTGTTATTTAAAAATGATCACTTTCACTTTCCTTAAGGTATAAACGATGTGAACAAAATTTGCATGATTAAAAGTTGATTCTTTATTTGTTCTTGTAAAAAATATAATAAAAATTACAAAATGGAGATTCAACAATACAAAAAGATAATATAAAAATTGTTACACTTGTATAAACTATAATTAAAAAACAATTTGTATAATAGCATCAGTAACTAAGATATAGTAGACTAATAGTTTAGTGCAAATTCATTATAAAATTGCTAATAAAAATGCTATTATACAACATTCTTTATCATACTTATATTAAAAATATATTATTTATATCTTTGACTATGTCAATATACTATCCATTCACAATTCAACTGATAATGAAGTTGTTACATGTAAACTTATTTCAAAAATTTATATTACATGTTAGGTAGTGCCCAATTCAAGAAATTCATAGCAAGTTCAAATCCAAGAAAACATGCTGCATTTGCTGGAAAAGCACGAAGCATCACAGGTACACATCCTTTGTACAGTGCCTGTGGTCCCTCTTTATTTATCAAATCTACGCATACTTCTCGTATTCCACGTTTGAAAGTACCTTCTGGAGCTAAGTAATATTAATAAAACTTCCATTAATAACTGCAAGAAAATACAAAAAATAAAATACAAAAGCATTACATACCGCTTTGTAGACGACTTTTCAATACATCCGGTGGCATTCCAACAATCCAATTTGCAATACCAGCACAACCACCAGCTATAATTGTTTGGAATATTCCTACTTTACTTTCTTCAGTGCTCATCCATTTTTTTAGACATTCATATGTCATAAAATACATTCCACTGGCAGGAACATCTAAAAATTTAATTTAAAGAAAAATCATTAGCAAGATGCAGGTATTACCTGCATTGAACATTTTATCTGGTAAGTATTAAAAAATTTAAATAACCAATTTGGAAGAAATTTAGGTTCCACCTGAATGTATGTAATTAAAGTATCATGTGGAAACGTTATTTATAATTATAAAGCAAGAATAGTGTGTGTAGGTTGCTAGATAATAAAGCATCCTGTTTGATAGGGGCATCAATTGAAAGGGGGCAGATAGATAACAGTTAACAAAATTCAGTTTCCTTCAAACCAGTGTACCATCACTGTTATACTTTCAAGATTTGCTTTTTTTCAATCCTCAAATTTCACACGGATTATGACGGTTATTCTAATTCTTATTCTCACTCTGCTGGTACATAATTCTTTTCTTTATTTAAAATGAAGAGGTACAAAAGAGAAAAAGATAATTTTTCTCATAAAGGTTTTCATAGTGTTTTTATACGTAAATTTAATTGAACAACAAATTAATAGACAAACATGTGTTTAGAATGAGTGCTTTGGACGAATAATCGATATCGGCGATATTTGGGAGGTAAAATGTCCACCGGGGTGTTCTTGTGAAATTCAAAAATTTGCTGATTTACCTTTACACCGATGGATCATAAGGGGTCAAGATCAGGTATGACAATTGGCTGTATTTTATATTTTCAAGACTTAATAATTTTGTTCTCAACAGAACCTAACTAACGATGCTAATTTTGAAGTTGGACTAAACACAGATCATTCTATGATTTCTGAATTTTTAAGAGTCGCTATTTGCGTTGTTGCTGAGGATTATGAAGAACTTCTGGATAAGCTTCCATCGGATATTCAGGTTGACATTGTAAAATTCAACAGTGTAATTTTTAAATTTTCGAAAATAATATATATGTCCTCATTTCAGGTGTTTACAATACTTCAATCTGGCATGGGAGACTTTGAGATCCTCTTACAGTCTACAACATTCCAACGTTTTACAGATTTAATATCTTTAGATATCCAAGGCATAGATTACAATGAACCTATAAAGAAATATTTAAATAATGAACAACAAAAGCAAGGAGGAATTATTTTATCCGTTGATTCTTTATATCCATTAGGTTTAAATCTTCTTTATTTGAATTTGGAACGAGTAAAATTAACTAGTGTGAATCCAACAAGAAGAAACAAAGCTAATCTCGTGGTAAAACCAATGAATACAGTTACTAATGATGAAAACAAGAATGAGCAACTACTGAATAACATTAGTCAAAGTACAGGACATAGACTAATATTTTTAAGTCAACAAAATAATGGAGAAAGTGATGATAAAGAAATACTTCCATATGATGTGTATAAACAAGAAATGGAGGGTTATAGAGAAAGCGTTGGACTTTTTACTGGTTTAGGTGCTTTAACCCATTTGAGAGTTTATGACTGTGATTTAAAAGATATATCATGGCATATGTTTGATGGCTTGAATAGTCTAGTTCATCTCTCATTAGAGAAAAATAGTTTGAAATTCATTCCAGAATTCTGTTTTTATGGTACACCAAATTTAAAAGTACTTTCACTTGCTAGCAATCAACTATTAACACTTAAAAGTGTTGATTTAGCTGGTTTACTAATGCTAGAAGATCTTGATTTAAGAGGGAATAATTTAACTTTTTTATCAGAACTATCTTTTCCACCTTTTCCAATGTTGAAGATAGCAGATTTTCGAGAAAATCCTTTGGATTCCATTTTCCCAAGGTAATTTAATCTATTCTATTCTCTTTTAAATAATGTAATAATTAAAATAATAATAATTTTGATTTTAGCACTTTTGAAATTATGAACACCACACTAAAACTGTACTTGGGAGGTGAGGATTCAAAACTATATTTACAAAAGAATTCATTTCTGGGACTACATCAACTTGAAACCTTACATCTATACAACTTGGAAACACCAGTTCTGGAATCTTCCGTATTTCAAGGAATGCCAGAGTTATTAGAATTAAAAGCACATGGAAATATCTCAAGTATTGAATTTGATGCATTTGCATATTTAATCAAATTAATAGATCTTGATTTAAGTCATTGTCATATTCGTATGATATCCATGGATGCTTTTTATGGTTTGGAAAATATTAAACGTATTGATTTGTCAAATAATGAACTAGAATTCATTCCACCTGGTTTATTTGTAATAGACCAAAAAAAGCAACTTAAAGAAATTATCCTTTCAAGAAACAAGTTGATTTCACTACCTCTGGATTTTTTCAAAATGCTTCGTGGTCCAAATCAACAATCACAATTGGTAATTGTAAGATTAGATGGTAATCCATGGGATTGTACTTGTTCCTTGGTTACATGGAATCCTCAATTGGTAAGTTCAAAGAAGTTCTTTACTTTGTGTTTAGAAAACCATTTTTAATAATATTTTTCATAAAGTTTTGAGAACTAATTAATTTTAAGTGACAATCATAAAATATTTACAATTTGATTGAAAATAGGTAAAGAGATTACGAGAAACTGCACCAAGATGCTCAACTCCCAAAAGGCTGAAAAATTGGGGAGTTTTTCATGCATTACGCAAGGGTGGTTTACAATGCAGATCTTTAAAAAGAAGACACTTAAAGAAATTTTCAATGGTAAAAAATAATTATGAAGATAATATAATCAGTTAGCTAATACTTTTGTTTTAATTTACAATTAACACATGTGTATAAAAAGAACAAAATTAAACAGTTCAACTTTCAATTTCTATAAAATGATTTTGCTTTTTAAATGTATAATTTTTAATTGTACAATAATATTGTGTATAGCTAGACATACAGAATATAAAAAAATTCAAAATAAAAAGATGTGGAAATTGATGTTTCACAGTCTCAATGTTTGAATCATAAAAATAAAATAGAAGAATAAATGATCACACATACCTCTCAGAAGGGTAGCACAGGTACCTTTATAAATACTTCTAATTCCTCCTTCTTTATAAAGCTTCTTTGTACAATCAATAGGACCTTGATATTTTGGTTTTGCATCACCATGTTGTATTTGTAGAAGACACTTTATTCTTTCCCCAGGTGCCATTATAACAGTTGTAAAGATACCACTAAATGCACCAGCATAAAATAATTGCAAAGGTGTTAATTCTTCATTGTCAGATCCTTTTACCAATTGTTTTCCAAGTCCAAATCCATAAAAACTTATGGCAAATATTGGAGCTACACCACATAAAGGTGCACCCATTCCTAAAGTAAAAAAATATTTTTAAGTAAAAGTAGAATATGTCTTTACATAAGTAGTATATATAATGTGATACTCAGATATAATTGAATATAATATTGTTACACACCCTTGTATAAACCACGTATTCCTTCTTTTGTTATTGTTTTCTTAGCACAGTCTACTGTTCCACAATATAGGGCAGCTTGATTTGGGCCTGGTACAGGCATGGTTTGAAGGCGGACCTATTAGGAGTAATCTCTTTCTCAAATATTTATTTTAAAATACAATATTATTAATAAAAATTGAAAAAGAAGAAGAAGT